AGGAGGATAAGATGCACACTGACTAAGGACACCGACATCATACGACGTCTTACCCCTGAAATCGTATTTCTCCAGGTCGGCTCCAATGATATTTCCCGTAGAAGATCGGCAAAAAGCGTGGCAGAAGAACTCAATGACTTGGCAACATACATCCGAATGTTAGGAGTCCAACATGTCATCGTTGGCTCTTTGTTCCCAAGACCCAGACCCAGACAGATGACGCAAGGCGAATACCATAAAAAGAGGAGAAAGATAAACCACATCTTGAAGATTACCAGCAACCAGGGAATCTTCACTTTCTGGAACCACGCATCCATGAAAAACAAGTTCATCAGTCATGACGGGGTCCACCTAAACAACATGACAAATAAACGTACTTCTGTGATAAATTTCAATCTTTGGCAAGACAATTTAACTTTCATTCAAAAAGCATTTTCAATACTGCAGTTGGGAAGATTATGAAATATCTGAAGATTCCGGGTAGGGAGCATTTTTTTCGATACATTGTTAAATTCGCGTTCCTACTTAATAAATCTTCATAGTATACGAGGTAACTGACATATGACAGATCCTAAAAATTAAAAAGAGAATCTTATATAGTATATGAGATGCATATATGATATCAGAAATTGTATGTATAGCGTAATGAATATCTCATTTAATTTCGATACACGAATAAGATATTTTACAGAATGTCATGAAAACAGTTCAGATTGACTGCCATATCAATTACCAATTTGTTAAGATGTTCTAATATTTCGCACGCGGTTAATGATGTTACATCTGTGTGTATCAAATTAGTAACATATATGCAGTATATGACTCTAGTAAACGGTTTTAAGTGAAGTTTTTGCTGAAGGCTCCGAGCGGTCTAGACAATTAATAGGATATTTACGACATCGTCACCACAGATTTTTTAAAAAAATGGAAAAGTAAATTTTGTGCAGTCTATTTGAATATATGTATAAACTTTATATATTTTACAAAAATTATGAAACAAGTTTTTACATCTTCAACCAATCACTCTTATTATCGCGCGGATGGTCTTACTGTGAGAGGAAACCGGAGTACCCGAAGAAAACCCACTCCGTTGGGCAGGTGACTCCATACGTTTTCATGTCCGATCGGGGAATCGAACCCCGGCCGCCATGGTGAAAGACAAATGTGCTAGCTACTATGCCACCCGACCATCCATTTATTTGAAATTCGAACTATAAAAGTTATGTAAATATATATAATATATGATACAGCGAAACGCATGGTGGCGAAGTAAATTATTCGGTAAAGGTATACAAGTGAAAGCCCGGCCAATCCGATATTACAAATAGAACGCGTAATTTCAGATGTAGCGTATGGTTTGGCTGATTACAAATTACAAAACACCACANAGCATGATGGCGAAGTAAATTATTCGGTAAAGGTATACAAGTGAAAGCCCGGCCAATCCGATATTACAAATAGAACGCGTAATTTCAGATGTAGCGTATGGTTTGGCTGATTACAAATTACAAAACACATGAATCGCTAACGCGATTCATTCAATATGTCCATAAACCCATTGTTGTTATGACCTCATAAATGTTGAAAAAATAAATATCACTCTTTAAATCAGCAACTAAACGTTTTTTTTCTGGTAAGTCTACTGGGCTGTACCGGGCTATACCGGGCTGTACCGGGCTGTAATTAGTAGGCGCCCGACGGGGAGACCACTCATTCCACACAATATATAGGCCTATATATCATTATATTATATGTCACGAGGAAGAACGTCGGAAAATATTGTCTTAGGCGAGTAAGACTAACTGGAACAATTACATAAATCCCCGTCTGTGAAGCAGCAAACCATTGTCGGATTCTGTTTTTCTCTGCAGTAAGTAAAATAAAAATGTGAATTTCAAAAGCAAGAGTTGAGCATGAAGATTATGTACAAAATGTAAAAGCAAAATTCTACTTTCGTTTTGTGATGGAACTTTTTTTTGAGATTTACGGGGAAGAAATTGTCATATTTTTGGATTCATACAATACACTTTTCTTAATTCTACCAACTGAATATAAATGATTATCACATTTATTTTTATTTTATCATGATGTTTGCTGAATAATTAAAGCCTTCTCCTTTACATTACTTAATTAGGATAAGGCAGCTGTATCTGGTTGAGCATACAGTTTCCTATGTTAACACACTTGTATGCAGCGATGTCCAGCCCTGTCAATCCTCTGGTCATCTCTTTGATTATACTGGTGGGACCTACCGTTTGTGATGGCAAGCTCAACGGAAGACCAGTCATTGGTAAGATTCATGTACTGTAGGGACATTTTAGGGCTGTGAGTGTAGTGAAACTCATGGAGTGCTTTGCAAGTTAGTTCATAACCAATATTTTCACTTAAAATGTTTTGTCTCTCCAGTTGTCGGACTCTACATTCTTTGTTTAATTTGCCCTGAGGGGACTTTGGGTGTAAGGTGTCATGTTAATTTGGTGACCATTCCTCGTTTAGAGGACTATAAAAACCAACTGTATTTGGAATAAGGTTCAACAGTGTCCGGTATGGAAAGATTGAGGTAGCAGGACCAAACATGTAGTTGTTGTTGTTGTTGTTGTTGTTTTAGTCATATAATACTAGTCATATTATATAAAGAGAATTTAGGTCAGAGAACCAAATATACAGCTGTTGTTGTTTTTCGGATCCCTACATTAAAAAAATATGAGAACTATGCAAACATGCAGTTGTTGTTCTTTTAGGAACATATTCGCATAATAATTAATAATACTGAAAAAATAGAATCAAAATTATGAGATGAGATTGAATTTTTAAACATACATTGTATGCATATGTTTGAATAATGTAAGTTTACAAAATTTGTCTGGCATAATTAACAGGTGTATTGGCTCAAAGCTGTGATCCCATTGATCGTGACTATGGTGACACATACATCCCTAGTACCTACGTGAAGTGGCTGGAGTCCGGGGGCGCAATGGTAGTGCCCATTAGGTACATATAACCACTAGTCATATAAGCTTAGCCCAGTTTGGCATCTGTGTATAATGTTTAGGTTTTCTCAAGTAAACTCAAATCTCAAAAGTTAAATAACAAATTGCACATTTTGGATAATTGATCTTTGAAAAGGATTTAAACCAGAATTCACTAAAAATGGGTTTTTTTCTGAACTTCATTGGAAAATTTCATTACCAAGTGAAACAAACCTTTCAGAGGTGAGAGATGCAAAGTATTTTTAATGTGTTCAGAAGTGACCAATACTATGAGATTATCTTCACTGTGTTTCGGAGTGTGACCAATACTATGAGATTATCTTCACTGTGTTTCGGAGTGTGACCTATATATACCATGAATTTATCTTTACTGTGTGAAGGAGTGTGACCGATACCATCAGATTATCTTGACTGTGTTTAGGAGTGTTACCAATATTATGAGATTATTATCACTGTGTTTAGGAGTGTTACCAATACTATGAGATTATCTTCACTGTGTTTGTGAGTGTGACCAAAAATATGAGATTATCTTCACTGTGTTTCGGAGTGTGACCTATACTATGAGATTATCTTTACTGTGTTTAGGAGTGTGACCAATACTATGAGATTATCTTTACTGTGTTTAGGAGTGTGACCAACACTATGAGATCATCATTACTTTGTTTCGGAGTGTGACAAATTCTATGAGATTATTATCACTTTGTTTAGGAGTATTAACAATATACATGTTCTAGTTATTACCTTGTAGAATATTTTTACAGAGTAAAGGAGAATGACCTGTACTATGAGACTATCTTCAAAAGTATTAATGGGTAAGTAAATATGCTTGTGTTTGCATTTTTTCTTTATCTACATTTATATAAAAGATTAAAACTAAACAGTATTAAAACAGATTTAAACTAAATTGTGTAAAGAAATAGTACATGACATCAATTATATGTCCTCTATATGTACCTAGGCAAACACAACACAACACCTACAGCTGTAAATAGCAAATAGCTGCTCGACCGATAGCACGAACGGAGTCAGCATTTATTCATAAATATAATATGAATATAATGAATACGCATTAACAAAATAATTACTCTGACTTCATTTACCGTTCACACAAACAATCCTCCCACATATACCCTCGCATGGTTCATTGCCCTACATCTCTTAACGTAAAACCAAGCGCGCCACCCAACCTGAAAACCTTATTAGGCGCGACAGGAGGTGTACCAGCCCGACAATGCTTAAGGTTTTTTACAAAATTGATGCTGGGATTTCCTAAATATGACGATGCCCACACATACATCTGTTACATAAACATAAAATTCTGCTACAATTTTATTTCCAGCTGTACTACGCCGTGCGAGGTGCGAAGCTAGAATGATCATACACGTACCCGTAAACTACCCTTAGCATGTGCCTCAATCTGATTGGTCAAAACCTCTGCACGAGACAGGCAACTGCCCTCGTATACTCTGTTTATACAAGACAAATATTTCCCGCTATTCTCCGAAACAAGAGAAAGTAATAATGTACACAGCTAATAGTATTAGTAATGAAGTTATCTCCCTTTACTTAGGTTTTAATCTGGGGACTCCTTAAAAGCGGTTTACATTATTTCAACTTCTTTTCAGTGTGGTGTTTCCTGGTGGAGGCGTCAACATTCTGACATCCTACTTTGCCAAAGCAGCCAAACTTCTATACAATATGGCTCTGAAGGTAATAGCCAGACCAAAGTATCTTCTGTAAATGTTTTTGGTTTATTGTGAGCTCACAGTTTGAACTCAATGGCCAGGTGGTAGTATGTCTGCCTGTTGAAGGTCATAGGTCAGATCCTACAGAAGGCAGAATGTGGCTTAGTATATTTTTTGTGCTGTAGCATTCAAGTGGTGTCAAATGAATAATTTTTAATATTAGATATAAAAACACATAAAAATCAATGACAACATCTAGAAAAGGGATCATGTTGTACAATGTAAGATGCACTTGAGTAAGGCTGATTTTAGACTATGCACATCTCATAATAATTGCAAGCACTTGAAATACTAAAATATTCTCTGTTGTTGCACTTGAAATCATTAAAGGATGTAGCCTTATTACAACAAATTTGAATCCCTTTTATTCTCAAACATGTTCATAATACAGGCTAATGACAAAGGAGATTACTTCCCCTTGTGGGGTACCTGTCAGGGATTCCAGCAGCTGACTGTTCTTACATCAGGTCAAGACCTCCTAAGCCACCTTCATGCTCAGAGAATGATGCCCCTCAACCTCACATCAGGTATGTCTATATATATATCTCTCACCTGTCCACATACCAGCAGGTGTGTCCATATGTCCATGTGTCCTCACAGAAGGTATGTCTACCTGTCCTTACTTCAAGTCTGTCCATCTGTCCATATGTTCACAACAGTTATGATATCTGTCCAAGTGAACATGTCCTGACAACACTTATGACCATCTATGGCATTACCATAAATATGACCATTTGTCCTAGCGTCCTTACATATGTATGTTCACAACAGTTACATTTAAACCATCTGTCCATGTGTCCTGACAGTATTATGTCTATATGATTATCATCTGACCATACGTCCTAACAGTTAATACAATGTATGTCCATTACTGTCCATGTGTCCTAACAACAGGCATGTCCATATGTCCTTACATTGTAACAGGTACACAATGTATGTACATCTGTCCATGTACAATGTATGTACATCTGACCATATACGATGTATGTACATCTGACCATATTCAATGTATGTACATCTGACCATATACAATGTGTGTACATCTGTCCATATACAATGTATGTACATCTGACCATATACAATGTATGTACATCTGACCATATACAATGTATGTACATCTGACCATATACAATGTATGTACATCTGACCATATACAATGTATGTACATCTGACCATATACAATGTATGTACATCTGACCATATACAATGTATGTACATCTGACCATATACAATGTATGTACATATGACCATATACAATGTATGTACATCTGACCATATACAATGTATGTACATATGACCATATACAATGTATGTACATCTGACCATATACAATGTATGTACATATGACCATATACAATGTATGTACATCTGACCATATACAATGTATGTTCATATGACCATATACAATGTATATGTACATCTGACCATATACAATGTATGTACAACTGTCTATATACAATGTATGTACATCTGACCATATACAATGTATGTACATCTGACCATATACAATGTTTGTACATATGACCATATACAATGTATATGTACATCTGACCATATACAATGTATGTACATCTGACCACAACCGTAACATTTAAACTGTCCATGTGTCCTAACAACTTGTACAATGTAAGTCCAACACTGTTCAAGTTTCCTAACAGCAGGTATGCCCATCTGTTGATAGGTCTACATCAGGTATGCCCATCTGTTGATAGGTCTACATCAGGTATGCCCATCTGTTGATAGGTCTACATCAGGTATGCCCATCTCTTGATAGGTCTATATCAGTTATGCCCATCTGTTGATAGGTCTACATCAGGTATGTCCATCATTGTTCATATGTCATCACAGAAGGTATGTCTATCAATTTTTTTTATATTCAGGCATTCTCTTAACAGGTATAACATTATCTCTCTGTGTCAATGTGTCCTACAATACTTCGAGCACATGGATTAGCTTTCACATCGGATAAATTAAGTCAGACTGTGTCAGTTATTGCTGATTTGTTTGTAGGTTTTGGACAAAGTCGTTTGTTTGCAGACTTACCAACAGACATACTGACTTCCCTGACCTTGTTTAATGTAACAGCCAATCACCATAACTGGGGACTGTCTCCCAAGGTAAGAACATTCTGACTTCAATGTCATACGTATGTTGTGTGTAGTAATTCTACACACAGGAATCATATTACTGGTATACAGAGTATACTTGAGAACAGCCACTCTGAGTGTCTGCAGGTCATTTTTGTGTGGCCTGCGAAAAGCTGGTGACACATAGGTATTGCTATGTCGGCGTCGGCGGCGTTGGCGTTGTCGGTGGCGTCTTCCGAATAGTGGTTTTCGTGCGATAACTTGAGTTTTCTTGGGCCGATCAAACTCAAACTTCATGCAGTGTTTCCTTACCAAAAGTGCTTGCTTGGGATTGCTTTTCAGGTCCGAAGGTCAAAGGTCAAGGTCACTGTTACTATAAATAGAAACTTCACTAAAACTGTATACTGAACGGCTTCGATCTACCACTTGACCCACCGTGTATACCTCTAAAATGACGTCTTACTCCAAATGTTATTGACAACACTAGCTGTTTAACATCATATTTCACAAGTTTATTCATTTATTTATGGGAAACCATCCGACAAATCATACAAATTAAACTTGGAATTGAGACAATGAGTATCCATAGCAAGTTCCTTAAAACTCAGAGTATTCTTCCCAGAATAACAGATTATATAACAAAATGATGCCATCCAAAAACATAATCTATGATTATTACTTACTTTTAACATTATTTCTTGAAATGAAAAGTGTATCTATTTCTTCGTAATCTCCCAGCTTCCTGCGCAGGTGACACATCCACTTCCGTGGAATTTTTGTTTATGTATATATGTAATTATTCATGGTTATTCTTATTACTAGCGATAATTACAAAGTATGGTTTAATTTCTTAATTAACACAACAGATCAGTTGAATATATGTAAATAACCTACATCCCTCCTGTACATTGCCTAAAATTTTCTCTCCAGAAAGAAAAAAACAAAAGCTTAATATTTCAATCTTTGCATAACATTGCAGACTTTCAGCCAGAACCAAGCCCTGCAGTCCTTTTATAGAGCCTTGTCGACCAATGTGGCTGATAATGGCAAGGACTTCATATCCACATTTGAAGGTAGGTTGTCATGCTACTGTCTACCACATCGGCTACAGTACATTTATGTAGGAACATTAACGAAGAATTGTGGGACAGCAGTCCACACACACTACCTAATATTACATGCATTTGTAATGCTGTTCCAAAATCCACTCCAAAAGTCGGTTTTAATGTTCAAGCAAAATGTATTTCACTACATTTACCTTGTTGGTAGAATACAATCAAAATAAATGTATATATTTTATATTATGCTGAAGTATTTGAATATGTAATTTATATGGTGTCACATATTTTGAACTAATTTTAAGATTATTCAGCTAATACTGGTTAATACAAGGGACCGTGGTGACCAAGTAGTTACGGCATTAGCTGACATTCTGCCACCACTAGCCCTCCACCACCGGGGCCTGGGGCAGTACTGGCCATAGTTAGGGGGTTTTCTCCAGGATTCTGGCTTTCCTCCACCACCAAAACCTGGCACCTCCTTAAATGACCCTAGCTGTTAATAAGATGTAAAACCCAAACAAACCGAACCAAATGGTATATACATGTATAGTAACACATCAGATTTTAAGCTTTACCTTAATATACTTACTGTATGATTTTATTATATAACGAAACTTGTAGTAAGGACATTTCTGTGTTATATTTCAGCCATAAAATATCCTATCTATGGAGTCCAGTGGCACCCAGAGAAGGTCCCCTATGACTGGGATCTAAATGATGCACTGTCCCATACCAAGAGAGGTGTGAAAGTCACACAATATTTTGCTGACTTCTTTGTTGAAGAATGTAAGTTGACATTTGATCATTTGTTTAATATTAATTACACACTCCTATGATTGTAGGGTAACCTATTTATAACTCTTAATAAAGTTGTTATATTTTTCTCCAAAATAATGCAGCATGATTATGGGTCTTTTAATTTTCATTTTAATGTTTTCTCTTTAAATTATCTTCTCTTTCTGGTTCTGTTTCCTCAGGTTCTTTTTCAAATAACGTTTGGCCGGGTATTAACTTTTTATTCATTCGGATATCTTGGAACTTGAAGCATACCTACAGCAACCACTGAACATTGTTTAATTTTGCTTGAATTTGTATATTTGGCAATTATGCCCGAGAGCTCAGAAACTGCTCACCCAATGCTATAGCCATTTTATTAGTTAAATCTACCAACCAAAAGCATTGTTATACACCAACAACTGCAATCACTAATGTATATCAGTATTTTCCAATGAGAAACTGTTTGTTGACATTCCACATTATTGTTAGAGTAAATAGTGACCAATCAGGGCATGATGTCAAATTCTGAAATGGTCTCTGACAGTTTTTTGCCTGACAAACCAGTAACCAGCTAGAGATGACAGAATACTTGTTTCCACAAAATAGCATGATCCACCATCTAGTAAAATTGTATCACGAACTGAAGAAACCACAAAAAAGATAAAATACATTTTCTGTTTGGTTTTGAACATAACTACCTCGTATAAGATTAAAATGCATCTTTTTACCATTTATGATTGTACATGTGCAACACAATTCTGCTCATACATATGAATATCTACGCACTGTCCAAGATGAGCTACCAGCAGCGTCATGGAATACATTCGAATGGAACTGTGGAACTGTGTTGCATAACATGTTGAATGTGTAAAATATGCATTTCAATCCTTAAATTAGTTCTGACTTTAATAAATACAAACTTTTATTTGTCTTGACCTACCATGAATGCCTTGTGCTTGTATAGTGAAACTGGACTGGGTTGATCACCATATATTGGTTCAAACTTAAAAATGTCTAGAGTTTGGAGGGTCCTAGGTTTGAATCCCAGTCAGACCATGCATTTCTCCTCTTTTGTAAAACTGGTGTATATGAGCATATATGTCTATAAATGGCTAGCTTCACTTTCTGAGTCGGTCATTTTTTCCCCATATAGGTAGGAAGAGTGACCACCAATTCCCTGACATTAACACTCAGTTATCCACTGTCATCAGCAACTACCACCCTCACTTCTCCAGGGACCAACGTTTCAAGGAACACTACTACTTCAACTTCACCCACCCTACTGTGTGACCTGTTTTTTCCCCCCAACCTAAAATGCTTAATTAACAATGAGTTTATATTCTCATCTACATGTTCATGTATTTACAGATTTGGTAAGTACTGAACTGTGGATGATACATGATGTCATCTTTACATGGAACACTTAGAGAATGCTGTTTAAACTATTACAATGTATTCACTTTTTTTCATGGCCATAGCCTGGGCGTTTGCTTTAAATTTTTATCATCCATATATCTACTGTTATAGTATGAAAATTAAGACACTGATTCTTCCAAGGTCTGAGAAAGAGGGCAAATTGAAAGTGAGGTCCAGAGGGGAAGTCCTGTAAAAGCTGCAATATTTTAAGCAGTGACAAAGCTTTCTCCCACCAGGTTACAGCCATGTTTGTTTTAATTTTAACTCAATCTCGAAACATTTGAATTGTTTATTGGATCTGTTAAATTGTTGAGATTTTTTCTAAACAAATATTTTAATATGTACTTGTTGTTTACAATTTACATAATCCTAACCAATATTCTAGCAATATATAATACTGATCTCAGTATGAGTATTAAAATTACAGTTCAAAATACATTTATACGTGAATGAACATATTACATCTAGTTCTTATTGATTGTCTAAATATGAAAATATACATTCCATGAAAGTTGTGATGGTAATGCATTTAAATGGTCCAACATGGGATAGATAAACCATTCGACTAATTTATCACTAACATTTAACTAGTCAAATATTGAATAGATGAAACATTCAACTAATTTATCAATGACATTTAATTGATCAAACATTGGATAGATATTTTACGCCTAATAGTATGAAGTGTGCCTATAGATCTCATGGTTTGTTTACAGGTTTTATTTCCTCATTTAGATATTGTAATTTGCTCTAGTCTATAGTGATACAATTTGTTATATATGTTAATTTTGTTTCTTCCATTTTATAAACAAAACAAATACAGATCAAAACGTTGTACCCTTAAACAATATCATTAATTGTTTGCAAGTCTAAATATGATAAAAAGCTGCAGGACTGCCTTGCTACCTTCCATTTGTTGGTTACAATAAGTAGTTATATTAATTTAGATTTTTCATGACTTTTAGATAAACGTCTAATATTCTCATTTTCTTCTCTATTTTCTGTTTTTACACTTGTAAGCTGAGTATGAAATCGTTTTTTCTCGTATTTTGATACGTATATTTTCATAAAACTGATAGCCATCGATTTTAAATTGCATTTCTTAATCTGATGTACGGTATTACTAATAAAGTGTTGATGTGTATGTTGATAAATCATCTCCGATGACCTGAGACAAAGTCTCTTGTGACCAATTGGGATCACCCTTTGTCTGTCGTCGTCCATTAGTAAACAACTCACTTTTTCGACTTCTCCTCAAAAAACTGATTTCAGATTTCAATAAAAAATTCAGGAAATTTTTATGGCCAATGATAAACCAATATTTTAGATTATATGGATCCCATCTCTCAGGGGCTAGCAGAGAAAAGTGTCAAACTGGATTAAAATTACATCAATCTTAGACTTAATTAAGACCCTAATTTGCCAGAATCACAATACAATGTAGTAGATTTCATTACCCAAGAATCATCCATTTCCCCCTAGGGTGGTTTTAATGCTACGTGAACTTAGACAGAGAAATAACATTTAAAGGTCAACTTTGTTCATTTTCAGTGGGAAATGATTCAAACTTGGTTGGAGGATTATCATGTCATTTCAGTATCATGGTATGACAATTAAGACTCTGACCCAAAGGAATTGGGGATCGGGCTAAAACAGGTCATATTGGTTAAAATTTCAAGAGTCTTCTTCTGACACAGATTCACCAGAATCTAACGCTCCTTATAAAACAAAATTGTCCTCAATTGCTTTATCCATATTGTGAATATTTTCCCCCATGTGTACATCATTTACACCAGGAGAGTGGGTAAACTTTACTATACAATGAAGTTAATATTTCGAAATGACCTATTTTAAATTTTCAGTAGAAGTAATTTAGTTTTGCTTTTAATTATAATCATCCATATAACTGCAGTTATAGCATAAACATTAAGACCCTGATTCTCCCGGGGCGGAGAGAGAGGGCTCAAATGAGTCAAATTGGGTCCAAAACCAACAACCATGTTTTTCAGACTAAGATATGCAAGACTCAAATAAGCTCCAGGAATGGAAATATCCTAAGGTGTGTTATATACGGTAAAGGTCGATTTGATTACCCCGGGGTCATTTATTCTACCGCAGAAGGGGTAAAGTTAACTGAAATTTATATTTTTGCCTATTGTAAGTAGGGAATAATTCAAACTTTATTCAAATTATTGTCATGGGATGGCAGTTTGAAGGTATGAAAATTAAGATTTCCAACAAAAAGAGAGGAAATAGGTTGAACAAAGACAAGGGAGCTTAAGGCTTAGGGCTATTGTGTTTCTAAAGTAATCAACATTGTTTAACTGGTATGTTGAAAAGTGGAGAAGATATTGTCTTACTATATATGTTTGTATGTAACTCTCCAAAACCATTTTGTCCACAAATCCACAGCTTAAAAGACATCTTTGCTTTATATGTACTCTCTTTCTTTGTCACACCACAAAAGCATACATAACAATTGTTTTACAACTCACGTGACCTATAAGGACCATGGGTCTCTTGTTTGATATCTAAAATACGTTTATTTATAACTAGGTTATATTATTTATTGTGGCACAAGGAATTCTTTTTCAGGTTTCAATTATATTATTTAATTGGCAATAGATGTTTCATGATTTTAGCGAATAAATTTCCAGGTCATTAAAATGAGAGTAACTGTAGGAAACACCAGTCGTTTAATTTCAGTATGAACATGTAGTTACTGATATATGCACGGAGAGCAAGACAGGAATCGTGAACACTTTGAAGTCTAATATTTGTTAATATTATCTTACTCTCTTAATTCTCGAGCTAAACGAGTTAATATGCTTTTGCCTGATGAAAAAAATTAATAATGTATAAAGATTTTTTGTTTTTGTACATGAATATTTATGTCGCCAAATGTCTTTCACTACGTGTGCGTTGATAATGAGAATGTCAGTGTGTGTAATTTATTATTCCATGCGTCTTGCACATGTGTTCTGAAGGTACTTTTATTGCATTGCGTGATTGACTTATGTGTCTATAGATGTTTGCTTTTCAGTTTGGCTGCAAACATTTGATCAAGTGCACGTAAATGATAAAAAAACCCACTTCGTATACCTCCTCCATACAACTACAACTGACATCCCTCAACAACAAAACCAGGGCAAACAGCTTTTCACAACAAAACCAGGGCAAACAGCTTTTCACAACAAACCCAGGGCAAACAGCTTTTCACAACAAAACCACAGATGATATCCGCCCCCCCCCCCCCCCCCCCCAAAAAAAAAAGAATAAAAGAAAAACCAGGCTAACATCTTCAACACGAATACCACGGTTATTACCCCTCAACACCAAAGCCACTGGTATCACACTCAGTGACAGGTAACCTAGAAAACCACTGTAAACACCAAAACACCAGTTAACATCTTTCAGTACTAAAACCACGGCTAACATTCTCAAAGTGTTTTTCTTCGTTTTCTGCATTTGTTGAGTTGATATATATAAAGTTCAAGTTCAAGTTCAAGTTAGTTTCCAATACAGGAGCCGATAGACTCAAAATTAAACAATTGTATAAAATAAAGTTAAAGGTCATTGTTGATTACACTTGCCCTATAATTATAATAAAGTTCTTCATTCTGCCAAAGTTGATCTATTTATTGATATTTGGAGCGGACACAACGTCCTCCGGAAGATCGTTCCAGGTTTTGACTGTACGAAATGTGAAAAAGTGTCTCCTCAGGGATGTTTTTGACTGATATGGGAATATTTGTTTTTCTCTTGAACTGTTTCTGACTGATTCAGAAGGAGGGGCAGCGGTGGCAGATTGGTTAAGGCTTCAGACATTCTGCTGCCGCTAGCACTGTAAATAGGAAGTAAAACACAAGCAAACCAAACCAAGTAATTCACTCCAAAGCTTAACAAAAGTACATGCCTCTCTATCGTAAATTCTGTTTCCAATGTACATTTCGATCATGTCCCCTGGAAGTCTCCTATATGCTAGTGTCGGTAGGTTCCATAAACGTTGTTCCATTTATATATAGCTCGATATCGACGAGGATGTTGAATAATATTTCTTTTTTCATGAAAATCCCTAAATTCAATTCTGTTTATGTGAGGATTAAAAAAAATGTAACATGATGTATGATTTGATTAGGAAATTGTCATGTCTAAGTCATTGCTTATGATTTCGCAATGAGAAATGGCTATTGATCAACTTTACGAGATCTTCAATTTACAACGAAGTACATTTTGCGTGATCTTCATTTCTCAACGAAGTTTAACAAATTTTTATGAATAAAAATTATATTTTTCAGTTTATGTTTTTTGTTTTGAATTTTAGATATTTATGAAAGCCTACCTGTAAATGTGTTGTACATTGTAGTTTGAGTATAATCTGTTGATGACCACCAGGTTTTGTTATGACTCAAACAACAGAGCTGGAATCGACCTGCTGTCATTTATTAAATGAAGTAAGTTGATATAATATGTTCGCTATATTTGTTTGTTTTGTAGCGTTGACACGTATCGTCTCAGGGATTCAGCGATTGAAGTTGCATAATGAGGAACGGTTTATTTAAAATTAAACATAGTACATGTACGTTAAAGTAGTTAATTTTAAATATTACCGTTTCATTCAAGCTATAGAATCTTCACTTTAACTTTAAGGCTGGTACAAACGGTTGAATGCTTGTAATGGCATGAGCTATTATTATGCGCATTTGATATTTACAACGTTTCAATTCTGCGGGTAAAGTAAATATACATAATTTGTTGAAATATCAGGATTCATATTTGCTTGAAGCAGGTGCTGATACATGCACATGTATCACCACAGGAATGATGAGCAAGGTTATATTTTTTATGCAACTTTTTCTCTTTCATCCCCTGTACTATTATCCCAGTTTGAGCTTGAAATCTGCGGACAAGTTCATTTAAAACTAAAAATATAACATCAGATCGTTTATTTAAAACAAAATCAGCTTTTATTTAAACAATAGATTCTTCACTTTCACTGAGGGCTGTAACGGAAATTGCGTATCATCGTCACAATGTGAAATACTTATGTACTGATATGCCATGGATGTTAACATTGAGATTTACCAATGTTTCAATATAAAGGATAATAAAAGCAGCAGGATAAATATTTGAAGCAGGTGGCGATATCACAATAGGAATGATTAGCAAGTTAAAAAGAAACTTTTCTTTTATCCCTTTTTTCTTTTATTCAATTCATTTCACGAAATTAATAATGCTTCACACGTTTTTATATGTTAAACATGAACATTTCTCTGATAAATTTGACACAAAATACATTTTAGATATAAAATAAATATGTTTCTATGATTATTCCTAATGCTTAAGAAAATAACAAGGTTAATCTGGACAACCTAGACAGGCCATGCTATATGCTATAAAGTACTGACAAAGGTACTATTAAATCGTTGAACATGTTTTGCCGTGTTGTCTTATGTATAAGTCGTACACAATACATGTTACTGCTACCCATGCTACACCATCAAACATTCCATAACATTAGGAGACACATGTGGGGGCGTTGCCTTTCATTTATTTTGATATGCGTCTTCGGGAGATGGATTAGAGTTGACTAATAACACTTGGCCCCGGTAACATACTTCGATAGTTTGACCATTCACTGAAGTCCATGATCTTATGATTATTTCATAACCTTAATTGCTTAGTAAATGTTGACATCGCCATTATTGTGTATACCATCCTCAATACGGTTTATTGGCCTCATTGAAGATCTTTCGAGTTAGTTAACTGCTTAGTTAATGTAGTCATCGCAATAAATTGTTTAAGCTTTCTAAATACTGTTATCTCAAAAGAGGTTATTTAATCAAGAGTAAACAATTCGACATTCCAATTTGTTAATCAATTTTTGTAATTAATAAATCTTCACACGTTCATATACATTATTTTAAGCAGTTAGTATAGTTAATTTGAATCATGCAATTAAGTAAGTATCCAATCTAAGGCGACCGGGTTGATATTTAATAAGTATCAAATCTAAGGCGACCTGGTTGGTTTCGCATTCGGTTCTTTTCTTTCTTGCTCCGTTTTTTCGTACAGGCTGTGTTGTCATTACGGGACCCTAGCCCTGACGAGAGGGGGTCGAGGTGTCTTGACGGAGTCAGCATTATCAGACCTGTCGCATACTGGGGATTGTTGTTTCTATCCGACCTGCATAATGTTTGGGAATATATTGGAGACTTAGTCTTGTCGGTAGATGTTTGCTCGAGTGCTTGGGAATGATAAGGAGTTGTCACTGGTATTCCGTTATCTGTATTTGATACGTGACATGTTTCATCGCATGTTTCACTTTTAATACTTTTGTCTGTTGTGTCCCTCTGTGGAATCCGGTTGATGTTGCTGTAAAATATTTCAGATATGCCTCTTTCGGGCGTATCTACCAACCCGTTTATCAGCCGAAGTCGGTCCTGTTCTCCACTACGAAGCAGGTCGTATTCCAGCCTGATCTTTGAACTATCATCAGACCTGGTTCTTGTGTGCCGTTTCTTTGTGTAAACTTTCTTTCGTCCAGTGTAGGCATCTACAACTGGCAAAGGTGTGGGCATCATTTCCAGTTCTGTTTTTAGTTTGTTTGCAGCTTCTATGTTCAGTTCAAGTCGCTGCGGTTCCAATAGAGAACTAACTTCATCTGTAGATACATCCGGAGTATGCATTATGTCTGTTTTCACAGTGTTGAGTCGTGTCGGGAAAGATCTGCTAGAGGCATGATGTCTATCACCTTCACCATTATCTTCGTTTAATTTATTGACAATGGATGTAAGCGAAAGCGAGATCGCGTTTTCTTTGTTATCAGTAATGACATTCGCGGAGTTTACTGATGTGAGGACTGCTTGAGTTGAAGATGACAGATTTTTCTCGGATTCGGGGTATGACCAGGGTTCGCTTTCATGGCTGGTCGCCGGCGAACTGTTTAGCCATGCCACAGTGTACGGAATGTTTCCGCCAAATGTCTGACTGCCAATACCGTCATCCTCTTCTAGAGAAGACACTGACTGCAAACTCACCTGACTCTTTGATCTAATGTTGGACGTGGTGCTCAAGTCACCAATGCTAGTACTAGTACTAAATGAATCTGAAAAGTTCGCCTGAAAACCTAGACTCGAAACGCGATTGCAATTACATGCCATTTGTGGACGCTTCCAATATCCCAGTTTCTCAGCAAGCCCTTTGTATTTACTCTCATGCAATGCATCGCGTAATTTTGAAAGTTTTTCTGCCCTTTCAGAAGATTTGTCTATTTGTGCGAAAACATATCCCCAGAATTCTTTACGAACTCTTGGTAGACTATGATCTGAAAACGACAGTAATGTATTTAGGTAGTCCATGTCTATGATAAAATGACTACATAGCTTGTCAGCCACACGGCGAAGATCAACATCCCGTTTGATTACACATATCAAACATTCTGAAGACCTAGGGCCTTCTTGCAGTTTGGTGGAATAAGCCTGCTGGATTTTTTCATGAACATGATTATTGTCACGTTGAAGCATCTTCATAAATTTACCAAACGTTGCTTTGTCCCTGGTGTAAATGGCATATATGAGCTTCCGTATCTTTGTTTTGTTATCCCTTTGGTAACGTATATCGGACACCTCGCCCTCCGTCAAACAGCTATCCTCTTGAAGTTCATCGATGAATGTAGTACCGTCTATCATTAGTTCCTTGACGATGTACTCAAAATGTTCCTGTAAACACTCTCTGTGTACACCCTCCGTCCCGCTTATGTCACCTTCTTCGCCTGTAAATTAAAACAAAGTGCGTGCCGCCTACAAGTCGTTCATTTAAAGGATATGGTCATTTGATTTGCTTATTACAGCTGTACTTTTTACTAGTATTGCCATGAGAAAAAAGATGTTTAGATAAAGTTTTCAACACCATTTTCCAAATTTTTATCGCTAGAACATGTGGAAATAGAGGGAAAAAAGAAGGTTTGGAATGTTGGTAAGTTCATGTAAGGTGTAAGGTGTAAGGAAGATGATATATGACTATGAGACTATAACATAAACTTTTGTATACTTTTTGAAAAGATCAAGAAAACTTATTAATCGTTTTGATATACTGTTAGTGCAAAAAGGAACTATGTCATGCTTGGTTTACTATTTACACAGCTTATCAATTAAGTTATGTCGTACTGAAGTCTCTTAAACATGGCAACAAAGAGAGACCTGGCAGCTTAATCAATAAGTAAATCAATGTTATAATCAAATATTTAACCCAATCAAATATTTAAGATATATGTATATTACCTAGTTACAATTAACAAGTCTTTCCTCTTTTCATCAAAAGAAAACTCGTTATATTTTCAAAAAATAAATAAATACGTAAAAAAAGATACAAAAGAAAAGATTGTGAACAATAGTACTATAAAACGGACTCAAAAGAATGATGTTGATCTTAATAATAATTATAATTATATGTGTTTTTTCTACTTTCTAAAGCAAAACATTGTTGATTTTCTTCTTTCGCCCTCTAGTCGGCTGTATTGATAGCCCTGCAGAAAATATTAAAAACATACTGATACAATTCAAAGCTATACAGAAATTGTTCGACAAAATAATTAGACGTTTCATGTTCAATTGTGTTAAATGTGGCTTACACTTTTTTTCTGCGATATATTTAGAGTAAATGTTGGTAGCATAAAAGATAGATTTCTGGCTGTACCTGTACGTGTGTGACCTGGAGGTGACCTTAGTTGCGACTCGTAATGTCGCGACACCGACGGGGAAAAGACATTGTTTTCGATGCGATGATTTAGTACATGGAGAAGAGCCTTAATGCTGCCCATGCTGGCTGTAAGCTCGCCATGCATTCTCGCTATGTTCACACTGTTACTTCTTGTAGCTTCTTGAAGTTGTTTTTGAGTCTCCAAAATAGTCTGAAATTTTAATAGACCATCCATAGTTTTATAATTCTAGCAAAACAAAAAAAACATTGCAAACGTTGATTAATGTACATGTATATAGTAACATATTAAGCAATGCATTGTGTATCAAAAAGAGAAGACGACACAAAGAATGAAAGTGAGACTAACACAAAAGGAATGACTACAATAATACTCAGTAGAAGACAACACGAACAATCGAGAAGACACCAAAATGGAAGGGAGGACATTAAATTATGAACCCCCAATACCCAATCAAATACGAAACCTGTCGTCGTGTCTTCCATAAAATTAGCAAAGTATGCTGGGCACTAGTAATCTAACATTAAGTGAACATGTTAGTTTAAACAGTTTTTTATTTCCTATTTTTGCACATTAACAAACTTCAAAACATAGAATAAGGAGGATGGGAAAACAAGCTAAGGGCTTATCCTAATTCCTCTCCCCTGAACATGTTACAACAGCTGAAACATGACACAGGTTGTTTGCCTGTTCTTTTAAATGTTAAGTTAAGGTAGTTGAAAATTAGCGAATAAAATGTGAACTGTAAACTCCGAAAGAACGGCTCCTTCCATACTGCGCTTGTAATGACGAGAGGAGATTTAACGATCCTGATATTTGGATCGTCGTCATTAATATAAACTTTTGAAGTTAGTGGTTATTTCAGTAAGCTTTTGATGAATTTGAGATATTAAAAGTAGTTCATTGTAAATGATATCTTGATTACATTTGTGGAGAATACATTCTTAATTCTAATCAGTCTCTGACAAAGCACCATCAATGTATCGGAATGTGAAGGTAACGGACTGGTCATTCTAATTATTCTAACTCTGGTGCAAATTCAGATATATCTATTATATATTTAAAAACAGAATGGCACACATTGTACACCCGATTGAAGACTAAAAGGCTTTTGGAAATATTGTTTTAGCAAAAACATCGCAAATATTTCAAATTTGATAAAGAGCCGTACGTATATAAGTACTTAGGTTATAGTTGAAATACCCAAACACATACTTATATACTCCCTGTAATGGGAATTGTCATCGACAATCAACAAATTATAGAAAGGAAATCCCCAGTCTGTATATAAATGTATAACTTGGCTGTTCCGTCACTTGTCATAACTAGTCAGAGTTTTACACGTATGTGTATGTGTAGTTATACAGGTAAGATACATTGCCACGCACATTCAAAGCAGTTGTTCCGCTTGAAATCTGTACGTTTCATTATATCGGTTATAATGACAAGCCATCTCGTTCGCTGAAGTTTTTAGATATAACAAATAGCAGTAAGGTACTTTGCACTGCTGACTTCCTGGTCTAAAATTAATTCTACATACCTGAAGGTATGACGTGGTATCTGCCATTGTTTGTTGTAATCGCACACTACATTATGCCTTCTATGTATGTACCTGAAAACACAGAAAATATTAAAGTCAAATATGGAAAATACATGTTATGAAACTGTTACACAATATCACAAGGACAGGAGATCTAGAACATACAATTCCACCTGTGCTGATGGTTGTTTAGGGTGACCTACTTTGTTAAAGATACATTGGATATTCATTTTATCAACTTAACAGGTTAAATACCCTTACATTATCAAATCTACAGAAAACATTCCCTTAAGTAACAAGTGGAAATTAGTACATTATTCATACAATCATCTTCAACGACAGGGCTGTCGGTTTTCATCGTGACCTATTATTGACGTATGTGTGTGTATTATGGCGGCCATTTTGTCCGGTGTTGTTATTACAAAACTCACGTGTTAATTTTACAATACCTTATCAATCTTACCTGAATCTGGTCATATAACATTATAATAAGTTTCACGGAACTTTAATGTACAAATAATAACTTTTTTTTATTTATTTTTATTCGAAATGGATTTCAATATACAGATACACATGTAGTAATGCAGGTAAAGTAAAATGTCAATCTTATTTTTACATGAAATAAACAGGTGTTAAGGCAATTATGGGAGAGAAATTCAAATTGATGCGGGTTTGCGAGTATCATGCTTATTCTACCTACCTCCAACATTATCTTTGTTGAATACTGATCTCATATGGCGATTATTGTCTGAATCCGGCCATGCCGTTATCATACGCCTACGCCCGACACCATCCCGTGTAGACTTTTTGAAAAGTTAGCACTCGATTGGTATATATATGAACTCTATTTATAGACATCCGGGTTCCTTGGAAAAACCCATTTTCATATATATATTTTAAGATCTAGACGACCGGAAAGTTTTAAGTCATTTTAATGATGTGAGGACAAAATGTAAGACATAATCATTTTGAAACATTGTCCTCGTCAGCTTTAAACGTCCTTTGATAAAGATAATACACGTTTTGTTATTTTCTTATAATATAATTATTCTTATAGAAGATTTTGCTTCATCCGATCTTGTGGTTAATGCATATTGTTAATTTTGAGGTACACCTACAATATAACACGAAATAGATGCATCATCTTTTTTGTGACTACACAATAACCATACTGAGGTCACAGGATACATTGAGTCCACTGCTATATCTTTCAATGTTTAGCAATGAAATTGTGAAAAAAACAGACTTTTAGGGTATGCTTGAAGGGAAGACTTAAATAAGCAACACAAAGTTTTGTCTTTTTTTTTTAACGTGTAATTTCAGCATTAACTATTGATTGCTATGAATTGGATAAGTGAGTTGATGTCACATTTGTGTTTGTAAAAAATCCATATATATTTACATACCATTACGTTTTATGTAACAGGTAATGATCCTTTTGAGATTTTTAGCATGATTTGCTTTTGAATTTATGTGACTGTGTGTGTGTGGTTAAATACAATTACATAGCCACGATGTAGCGCGATTAATCAGATTTAGGACAGTATTTCTGATGAAATTCTACTGCTATCATTTACGAATCTATTGTTGTACTTCGGACATGATGAAGCATTTCAAGCAAATGTTTAGTTTTCACCGTTGTAAAATTCATCCATCCATATATAATGCCGAGGGCTAGGATGACCAGTTTAAAGGCCAGACTTGATAACACGAACAGCCATTTCACCCTTGTACACTGTAAGGAGTTCATGGATGACTGTGAGTAAGGTAAGTGTACACGTATAACGTGATTATTTTATCATTTCTTGTCCGATGTAGAAGTAACCGACTCATGTGGGTAAACACCTCTTGTACCATACATCTACCCTCCAAATAAGATGTTGACATGTTTGTTTACTTTTGCTATTAAAGAATGATGTCTAATTGAAGGAAGTAAAGGACACTTTTGTGTATTGCTTTTAGATAAGCCAGTGAAACGACCTCCTGTCCAGGACCACAGGTCAGATAAAGAGTGCTTTCGCAGGGTTATCCAACACCAAATGAGTGATTTATCCTATTTAAAAAAAGATGTATCCACCCTTGGTGGGCCCCAGTCAGTTGGTTGGATATTATTTGTTACGGCTTCAGCTTAACACACACATCAGCATAGTCAGAAGTATTTCGAATGAAATAACTCTTGCTTATAAATTATTCAAAGAACTCCTTAGGCGTTTTCTTTGTGTTATATGTTGTGTTTGTTCGTGTTTTGTCTTGATAAAGGGGCGGATTGCCTCGAAACTTGGACAAATTCTCTTTTTCCACACTGTCACTTTTAGTTATCTGTTTTTAAACATACATGTATATACTACGATACCAGGATAATACAGATGCTGAGATATCAAGATAAACTGTATCGCCACCTATCTATATATCACCGACTGAGTCATTGTGAATACAGAAAGGGCCACGACCTGAAATATCGCTATCAGCTGAACACTCATTTACACTGTAAATACGTCTGTATTAACATGTATACGTTTTTTTCTCTGTCTGTATGACTAATTAACTAACTACCATAACTCTATTCTTCGTCAGTTGAAGATGCAGATGCTGGCTTATGATCTACACTCGATGACCGTACGTACGTTTTAGGCATTTGTTGTTTATTCGTGTTAACATTGTAATAAGTTTCCATTGGAAATATATACCACATTTTCAAAGTTCTCTTTTACAGGACAATGTAATTTACTAATGTAGATACCATATTTTTGCCTTGTGCACACTTTAACATGTTTATTCCTATTCAGGTTATGTCAGCATATCTTCAAATATTTTGGCGATATTCATATTTAGCTTAGGTTCAGTATCGTTTAAATTGTTATTGCATTTTGTGAATTTCTATCCCATATTCGCATTTTCGAAAACCCAAATATATACACTAACATACATTCGTTAACGTGAATTCTATTCTGATTTTATTCTTTCGTACCGCTCTTTACAGTAGTAAAAAACTATCAAGTGATACGTTTGAATTGTAGTTGATGGTTTCAGTACTATATCATACGGTGTGATTTGTTTTTCCAGTGCCGGTCAATTACAAAAAGAGAAAAGCACAATGTTTAGCATCTCCAAAAAAAGAACTGTATTGACATGAAAAAAGCATGGCTGCTGGAACTAAGGAAACTGAAATCAGAAATAACGACAGCACCATGGTAAACAAACAGCTTATCCGAGGTCAATGTGTTCGAGGAAAGCAGAGGCAATGGCAGAAAGACGCAGCAGATGACTGTACGAGATCCAATATGTACACTAAGCTACAGTTAGTGCAGGGTGAACATTTATATGAAACATTAAGGGGGGATAACCAGCCGGAGTTCCACATTTACGACTCTATGAAAGTGCACGATGGTCAAAGAATTTATTGTAGATATCATGGCGAGCAAAAGGCCCTGGGGAATAGTTGTTTAAAGAGTAATAAGTACCAGGAACACAGTGTACCTGTAGAATCCTCTACTGGATCATACCTAGGGAGAAGAGCTGTCGATATTGATACTGCTGAACAGTATTCGGACACTGACGATTACGAGACGATTCAACCTGTAGAAGCACCGACCACTCAACAATTAACAGTTTCAACTCGGAAATGCATGTCTGATAAGCAAAATACAGATGTGTATGAATTAATTTGGGAAGATGACAATAGCATAATTTCGCCACACCCGCCTAAAACAATGTCTTCCCACTCGCCTTCTACCCTCTTGAAGGCAGATGTATGCAAAACGTTCAATAGTGTGGTCTGCTCCTCGGTACATTGTCCAGTGTGTGTCCCTTACTGTCCACTGGCTGGACCAGAATCCTGTACATCCTGTGGACAAAAAATAATTGTTCAAGATGATGACAGTGACTATGTTGAGATTGAGTTTGAAACTGAAAATGTGGCTTGTAACGAAGATCGCGTATCCTCGTCTGACCAATACGGGTCTGATGTTGAAAGGTTACAGCAGTGTAGCTTGCTATCCCGCGATTCCTTCTGTCGCAAAGCGTTTAAACGAAAATGAAACGTGCATTAATCGTATCAATATCAACACTTCTCAAACAGTCGTAAGAGAGATATTGTATGTTAAATGTCGAGGTGTTTTATTAAAAGAAATAATGTACTTATTTGATTATTGCCGATCAAATAAAAGTGGATGTTTTTTATAAGAATAAATAGCTTGTAAATTCCTGGGCAGTGTGATGAAGCCCGACAATATTGTAGAGTGAGATTGCGTACCTGCCATGTTAAGAATATTGTTAATATATTTCTCGTTTACCTGCAGCGCCACGTTAGCTAGCTGGCCACCACGCGATTTTGCATGACCTTTGTGGACAGCGGTGTCCGGCATACCACACTAACCAGCTATATTCGACCACTGTACTAAAATCACCAGCATATAGTCAATTAAACTGTCAATCTATCAATCAGGTTAATATCGCCAAACTGACATAAAACACAGCTCGATCCGTAGCCATGACACACCAAAGCGATCAAATTGACCGTGGTAGTGAGCCGTTACTCAGGAGACTACACACGTATTGTTAACACTGGTAATTGTGTTTTCCTCATACATTTATCATTTTCCATTTACCGTTATATATTAAACACATGTTGTCCTTTATATATCCGAACGAAAAATAATTGAGAATGATTTTCATATATAATGTATTTTTATTAATTGTACACTCAATATGCATAAAAGCAAAACGTACTATTTTTCCACATGGATCCAATTTAAACATAGTTCTTTACTCCAAATTAAACATTGTACAGTATGAATATTATCAACATGCTCTCCTTCATTACATATATCGAATTATCAAACCTCAAAAGGGAGAAAAAACAACAAAAAGTAGAGAATACCACAAACAGTTTGTTTCACTGAAATTAAGAAATAAGTCTATACGTATTTCATTAAAGTCATTAAAATATTGAAACAAGTCTAGCTTCTAAAGTTGATGATACAGATATTATGTAAAGAAATTAAACGTATTCTCACAAATGTTTAAAAGCGACTTCAGAACCTTTACCACAAAGCAAAGGAATAGGGCAGGGCGAAAGTTTGATGGAAAATGCTTAGCACTAGTTTATAAATACAGAATTTGTTATCGTGGTTTACTGTTTAATGCAAAATATAACATTGTACAATTCAAAGCTTGAGTATAATCGGATCATGTATAAGGGGAAAGAGACAATCTAAAAACAATCACCAATGGATGACATACCGTGCTTTCTGTTGCTTTTAACATTTGGTCGCTTACACGATCAATGTAGTGACTTTTCCAGGTCTCGAATTGTGTACGATATCATAAATTTATGGAGCATTAGCAGGAATCTAAGCACTTTTTAAGGATATATTGTTAAATGGAAACAGCAATTAACTGAAAGGATATTTAGCTAGATACATGTAATAAGGAGTCATCCAAGTTTGGCTATTTATTGACGAAGTAGTTGAGTGTTTACTATTTCAATTAGAAATTTAATTTCAAATGTTAAGTGTGTACTTTTCCATTGGGATTATCATTACACGAGAATCACAAAAGATTCGATACATGAGGACAAAAATCTCAACTGAAAGGGAATAGAAAAACAAACGAGGGATCTGAGGAGACATCAAACAGAAGGAAAAACACCATGGTCCCCTTCCCTACCACACTCTACAAAGTGATGAAATTCAAACTGAAAATTGCTCCCAGGAACGGTGTGGCAGGTTTAATTTTAAAAAGATATAAAGCTTGTACCGAGTACTATTTCACTAATAAATTGCAATATCTTATCACACAATTTAATCTTAAAGAAATACGATGTAATTCAGATTTGTATTATATACAAAATGTAGCTACATGTATATTAAATTGGAAATATACTCCGCCGAGAGAAAAACAAGACAAAACGGATTTCGAGTTGCACATTTGAAAAAGAAAACAACACATATATCTAATATTTGATTGTGATATGTGATTATGAAATAATGATAATCTGAAGTCTTCAGTGAACACTGTTAACTTATTCCACAGCAGTAACGACAAGTAAAATTGGAGAGCTAGAGAAAAATAAGAAAAAGAAAATGAATTCAAACTATAGGGAAAGTTCTAGCCTGACACTAAATATATCTTTAGTAAGCACAAACATGGTTCAATTGTCTCGCAAACAAAATGTGAATACACTGTGCTTGTTTAACACTGCCACATACATATCTGAATGGTGAAATTCAGAAACAAGTATGCGAATGCACGTAAACGATAAAAGGCGTACACATATCACACAAAGCTTAGAGACATGCTTGACCTATCACTTCCTCACAAATACGGTTCTGGAAAACCCAGACTCATTATGCTTATACTAGTTCATGCATAAACATGACACCTGATTCCAGGTGAATGCAGGCATACGTCACCGCTGCCTGTGTACAACCAATACAATTCCATAGTCGTCTATTAACATTGGTGTGTGGAGCAGCGATCTGAAGGTAGTCCACGGTAAGTAGATATATTTTGTTTGAATAATTTGTTTACCTGATCGAGGAAGTCATTAGTGTTTTCAGTATGTGCTGTTTTAGGTCGTTTTAGTTTGCTCCGTAGGTGACATGAGGTATGCATGTATAGTGTGAAGTCTTTTGTCAAGAGTGAAAGCACAACAAAGACGTGTCATGTCTAGCATTAAGGGCCTGACATGATTCTACATTCTAATTTCCCCTTGTTCATGTTATGTCCTAGTTTCATCGATTTGAGTTCAACCTAGAGTTTTGTGCACAATTCAGTACTGTTATTGTCCATAGTTATAACAATGCTTACTTTAGCTGATGCAAATTGTCTTATTCACTTTCAATTTCTATTGAATTTTATATTTTAATAATTACCATGCACTATTTCACTTCGTTTATCTTTTTGGAAGGAAACGTCATAAATATGCAGTGTAATAAAACGAAAGGAAAGTTATTTGTACCACTGCTTCATTATGCATGTAATACGTGATACTTATATACGTAGATATCTGTGGAGCGGTACCATTACTGATACTATTAAATGTTATGTACCCGGCAGCCGATATAGATGTCTACCTGTGAGGTGGTTGGTACAATTACCATTACCCTACTTTATGTTTACCTGTCAGTTGGGCAGTACCACGGTTTAGTATATTAGTTGGTCTCTACCCATCAAACTGTTGGTACTATTCCGTTTACATAAGATATATCCACATGTATGATAAATATCAGCAGTCAATCTTGATCCAAGATGTCGGGCAAAGCCCTTCCGCAGGGATATAATATTTTTGGGTCCTCGTCACGTTCATATTTGAAAATAGGAAGTTTGAACGAAAGAAATATAACCGTCATGGTGATAAAAAATCTGTCAGGCTGTACCACGCCCTGTTTTATATGGAGGTGTCAATATAGAGTGGTACTCAAGTGTCCTGTAGGATACGATGTTATATAATTTACAACTGTAATTGTGTTTACAAAGGGGTCGCCACATATTCTGTTACTATGCAAAGTCTTCCATTGTATACTCATGTGAATATGATCTTTTTATGCTGAAACGATTGTCTGCTTACATGTGTATTTTTATGGCAAAGTTAAATAAACCATAGATTTACTATATCTTTGATAACCTGCATTAATTAAAAATGTATATGTACATATCTAGCTGGTTGTTTAAAAAAAGTATCTGTATTAATTATGCATATCTAGATCCCATGTTGTAATACAACTATGGCCATATGATGACGTAACTGTATGGTTAATGCGACAGGTTTCATTTCACGATCACTCAGGAGTAACGAATTGGCTGACAAGTGTTTTTATAAATCACAAATTTATGCGTTAAATAAGTTTCTCTATCAGATGTATTCCGTCTATGTTATAAGATTCTACACGATTGTTAGTATGACTTGGTGTCAAACGGTACCTTTTCTCTCTCCTACAATGATACAATTAGTGGTTAGAATTTGAAGCGTTTCTAACGTTATGTTTTTGGTTTTTTTATCCAGTGTATAGAATATATTTTCAGATATTCTTTCTAAAAATACACAAGAAATAACAAGCAAGCATTTAAAATTGAAAACCGTAATTAAAATAGTACATTGTAAAAAACGGTCTCAAAGTGAAATAATTCATATGATATGTATTTAAATTTCGACAATATGTACATTATTCTGAGAGAAAAGCAAAATATATTATATTTTGCAAGAGGTCTATTAAACGGAACAAAAGTGAAAGCGACGTAAAATGGATACGTTTGCAAGGTATGCTAAAGACACAGAATCCTTCATAGATACAAAAATGAATTTTCAATCTTATTTTAGCTTATATCCTTAGTGTGCCAGTTGTAGCACTACAGATGTTGTCGAACGAAGAGATATAACATGCCTTACATTGCGTTGCATACGAATTGTCTAAAATGGGCGGACATTTAAGTTAATAATTAAGGTTCGAAATATAATCTGTATTTAGTTAAATAAAATCGCATATATGCATTGTATATCTAACATCGCGCAGTGTTAAACTTAGCAAATGGAAAATGGAAAATATTCCAACGGAATTATTAATGAACCTTGCGGAATATTTTAACACAACATACACTTCTATTTAGAAATTTAATGTGTAATATGTTATGCATAATCTACAAGATCCAGAACTTATTGTAATTTATAACCGGCGATATTTTTTGTTTTTATGGCTACATGTATGACTAAGCCTGTCACTGTGAATCCCGCAAGTTTTAATATAATCTGTGTCTAGCCGACAACTTCACAGGCCTTATTCTGTATAGGCAATGATAGTAAATACCAACGGCAATACAGATACGTCCAAGTTTGTATATACTTTGTAGGTAAACGTTTTATTGTTATAGATATCATTGATACGCACTGACATCTCTCATAATCACAACAGTACTATTAGGACTATTGACTGTCAGGAAGTTTTCTTTTTGATGAAAGTATCATACGATGAAAAAAACACCAGAGCCATTGACCCAGACAATGCTGTGGTATGATAGTTATAATGTAACCGAAAGTAAGTATTTTCAATCAAAATCGGTAAAAATAAGGAAATGTAATTATAAATGAATGAATTAAGTTATTAGTTATTCATAGTCGAATAACTCCAAAAGATATTCATGCTTCAGCTATTCTGTTATACCTACAACTTAAATATATTTATAGAACTTTGTTTTCACTTATTCAATGGAAAAGTACAATTTCTACCTAAGAATAAGAATAAGACGAAATATATTAGATAAACATGTACAGTTACTCAATTATGATTTTAAAATGGAATCTTAGTTGTCTATGACAGTAATAACAGATAGACAATATCGTAGGACACGCAAACCTGAAATCGAGGCGATAGAGCTCTCTGAATGGATAAGTACGAATATATGATGTGATATATGATCATGATATGCACATCAACATTAGGATTTCAGTTCATTAGTAACAATATAATTGTTCATTGTCTCGTATTTTGTGTTGTGTAATTATAACACGTTTATGCCTTGACTACCTAAAGAATTTTATAATGCACAATTTTCATTGTCCGCACTGCGATGTTTAAAAAGAGATAAGACTTACCTGTGTGTGTTACATGTACCTTGATAACTTAATCATTAGTAGATAGCGTGTCTTAGATGGTGTCGTCTCACGTACCATACATTTGGTATTTTCCTATATACAGGTAAGGTGTTGGGTGTATGCTAGGTGAGATTTGGTGTCAGTTAGAGAACAATAAGAGTTAATTACAGGTTCAAGTTCAAGTTCTTTATTACTTTAAGTCGGTTGACTTATCAGTTATAACATATATACAAAACAATACAGAGACAATATACAATATGATACACACACACACACACACACACCGTGGAGAGTGAACACTAACCAGCAATCAGCTCAGATCTCCTTTTGTTTGCTTGTATTAAAAATTTGCCCAGATTTCTAATGTCAAACTATAGTCTGTACTGTAAAGTGTCTGACAATGTGAATATGAACGTATACATAGGATTGATGTTTGGTGTAAAATTTTATTTATTTATAAAATTGTTTCCACTTCATCTATTAAAGTCTTCATCATAATAATAGGGAATATCAGATTAAATGTCCTTACTTTACATATTATTACAATACAATACAATTTCTTTTATTTAAGTGTCACATATCGATATACATTAAAACTACAACAGATTTTACAAAAGGTAAAAGCTATTTTAAAATTTAAATCGATCAGTTATCGACATTCATCCAAATCTGGCTTATGAGACACTAACAGTCATTATCACACCTTAAATAAGTAAAATCACTAACACTGTATACATACTTATATAAAGTTAAAACATAGGCGCTTGTGATACGTATGATATAAAGCAGCGTCTAAAGTCGATCTTGTAAAGGTGTAGAATACCGTCAGGTTTCGACTTTTAACTTCAGAAAAACCACAACGGAACTTTGTTAATGTTTGTCTATGGCCAACATGCATAATATTACTAATATAGGGTTCAGTGCTCAATTCATTCTTATATGTACGATATGTTCTTGGTTTGTTCCCATTAATATGGCCATTGTCATTCCACAGGCGTCGATACCAGTCATTTACATCCTCCTGAGAAAACACACGTCTGGCTTTACGGAGGCACTGTTTAACATTGGATTTCAGAGCGTAGAAGTCGTTCAATGATCGTTGATGGAGTAGTTTGTTAACACGACATTCCCAACTTCTCCGTTTTCATTTTGACCACTAATGTATTTTATAGACTAGTATATCGTGAGCGGTTCCATTGATCCTTAACCAGAGCCTACAAACCTCCACTTTCTGTTCCACGTCACAGGAACTCCAACCAAGATCGCCATTTGTGGCGACATTGGTCGCATTTCTTCCGGTTTATTAATTATCTGGTCAAGATTGTAACATCCTTATACCATTTTTGAATACATTGGTCATGTAAGCTTATTTTCAATGAATGTTACACAAATATATAAGTTCAGCCCGAGTAACTAGTATTTCATTAATATAATGTAATCATTTGAAATGACAACGAAGGGTTTTTCACGTTAACTGTACATCATACTGTACACATTACTCCATTATTTATGCAGTATGATGGTAAACACATGTTCAAAGTAGTTTTCATTAAACTATTATTATTCCGTCTATACTGCATGCCTACGGTGCTATTAACCAAAACTTTATGACGGTATATGGTATGAATTGTTTTCTTCAACTTTATTTTACGAAGTATTTCCTGTAAAGTATAGAATACATGTATGTCTCAGTAGATTAAATACTTCTTTGCATTCATTGAACCTGGTAGAAAAAGAAATGTTCCTTCAGAACAAAGACATTGTAAGGAATGTACCTCCACAGACATGAAAGATGAATTTCGCTTCTGTTCATTTGTAGTAAATTTCAAAATCTCAGAGTGCGGTTTTCCGACTATTCAGTTGATAAGTGTCAAAAATAGTAGACAGCTATGTATATTACAATGTAAGGAAGTTTGTCTTTGAAGCTATCAGAACCTCTTAGTTGATTATATTGTGTATTATGTACATCATCTCTATATATCGTTTTTTGTACACCATGTACCACATATGAGGGCTAATAGCCCAAGCTTTGAATAAATGTTGACAATATTGACATTTGTGATATTATGATAAGTGAAAATTATAATTATTTTTCCTATCCACAGTGTATGTCTACATAAAATCAGCTTGAGATTGATATTTTGCAGACATAACTATAAAATAAAGGAAATATGAAAACAACATTCAGTCAACTGTTATTGTATCAGTTGTAATTTATAGACAATGCATTACAGAATTTTAAACAATCTTTGATATTAAGATTAGTTAATGAATCTTTACTTGATCAACAACAATTTAAGATTTTAATAACACGTAGGCGGCTAGTACTGTACCTGTTATAATATATGTAAAATCGTTATTATTTTCAGGTTTAATACATTTTTAAAAATATTTTATTTCATTTTAATATTCACATTCATCTACTACCACGTGTCATTATAATTCTTTACAAAGAAAATGGAATATTTCTCTGATTAAAAGTCAATCGGAAATGTTATAAAAACAAAACTTGATATAATGTGAAATAGAATTTCATACATTTTTATTTGATATTACTTTTATTCTTTTTCTCAAAATGAATAGCAAATGCAGATTTTTTTGATTTTTTTAGCCACCTGGCTAATATCTCCCTATGTGTGTATGCCTGTGTGTGTGCTGGAGATGTAATGTGTTCTGTTTGTAGTGCTTCCAACGGTATCATTTATAGTGCCACCTCACTTGAATGCTACAGCACAGATACCGTAACACCCACCCCAGACCATTTTATACTCCACCTGGGTTGTTAGAGTTGTGTGGGCAGGAGAATAACGCTTTCTCTAATATTCCATGCGTACGGCGACTTCGGGGATCGAACCCCGGCCGCCTGCTTGGAAGGCCAGAGTGTTAACCACTCGACCAATCCGCCCATTTATATAGCAATAAAAAGGCCGTCGCTGTTACCATCCAAGAAAAATATTGGGAAAATACTATACTTTTGGCCCCTACTTGTGTTTTGTTGGTTTAGACACAATCTTCCCCTACGTAAGGCCCACTCGAATTTATTTATATCAAATAAACACAACGCGGCAGCCATTTGTTTCCTTTTATGACTTCTAAAAGTAAACTTACGTGTGATTTACGGCAGGTATTTGTTGGCGTAAGTTACGTGCGGTTTTGGCCGTAATTTACGGGTACCCGTAACTTTATTTACGTGCACTCGTAACTTACGCGTGCGTCGTGAAACGGACCAAAAAAACTTACGTACGGTGTATGTGTACCCGTAAATTTACGTACGCCTCGTGAAACGATACCCTGGTTCTGACTATATTTACTTCTTGGAAGGTGAATGTTTCTCCGGCCCTTTATTGTACATTTTATAAACTAGATATGCATACATATCTCTATTGACTAGGTTAGCTATGGGTTACGAGATATGGGCGTGCTGAAATAACACCGAAAGCATAATATACTGTATGTAGCTATAGAAATTATGCTTGCCACATCCTGTCGAGCCTGTTCGTGACAAAGAACAAAATCCATGGGGAAAACGTGGTTCTATGAGTGGGTGGTGATATTTCAAACTTCAAAGATAATAGTTTATAAAATATAGAGTTGATATGAACTCAGAACTGAAAGTTCAAAAAGGAACGTTCAATTACTCCCTTTCCAATCATGTAGGTATTTTAAATAGGTAAAAGCTAACGTTTGGGTTTATAAGTCACTGCTGCTTAACTTCGCTTTAATATGAACACGGATCGGACGGTTCCCGATTGATCATGGTTACATTTATTGTCTTTAAAATGTTGTACCTTTGTTTTCTTTTTCAGATGGATTATTCAAAGGATCAAATAAAATTCATATTATGTGATTTAAATAACCTATCTGCTGCTGAATTGGAACGTCTCGGGACAGAGCTTGCAGCCATGAAGATACAGTCGGCAGTGAACCAAATGGAGAAAATCCTGGGGTGTGCAAGCACGCGCGACCACATCTCACGCCCGGCATACCTACCCGCCGCTAAGAGAAAGAGACACACCCCAGTGGTGCCTACTCACAGCCAGGACAACTGTAGTGACGGCTCCACATATAACCTTCAAGTTAAACCGTGTGATAGAGGTTTGTCACTTGTCTTTTATTTGCTCTTAGAATAAATTATATAGTAATATTACAATATTTTTACGTCGTTGGCGCTAAAACGGTATCAAAATGTATGGGTGTCAAATGTTTCCCAGTGTCTTATAACAATGTTATACTATATAAATATGTATAATGCACCCGTTTCCATTAACAATATCGATTTGTGTACATACAAATAAGAGTTCAGCATACATATGTGAACATGTAATTCCATGTTTACTATCATGTCCATCAGAGTCCCCCTGTCAACAAGAGGAGCCGTACCAGACGGTCTTGAGAGAAAATCACTTGCATTTGATGAACGACTTGCAGTTGGATTCAACACAATTACTGGACCAACTGTTGGAGGAGGAAGTCATGTGTACGGCCGATGTGGAGTCGCTCCGGCGGATACGTAACAGAAGGAAAAAGACTAGGACACTTCTTACACAATTGGCCGTATACGGCCCAAAAAAGTTCGAAAAATTCAAACAGGCTCTACGCCTCTCTCATTCGCATCTCTTCGAGAAACTTGTTAAAACTGAATCTAAGGATAAAAGCATGTTTACCACCAGAGAGTGTCTGGCTTGTAAAATTGCCCGCGACGTGGACATCGGTGATGTTGTGGATAGATTGTACAGTTCGGGAGTGCTTCTACGGGAGGATGTTCAGTATGTCCTTCAAAGGCAAAGTTGCCGGGAGTCGTGGATTGTTATATTCAAATGCACAAAAGATGCTAAAAGTAACGGATTAAGCGTTCTATGGGAATGTTTGAAATCTAAATACCCAGAACTAGCAGAGGCGGTCCGAACTGAAACAGAATACATCAAATGCAACTGTAGAAAAGCTATGAGGAGTGAAAAAGACAACAAACAGCAATCACTATTGCCCATTAGTAGGACTGCATCTGGACCTTACAATGTCATAGACAATCCATACATGTCCATGCCACGCGACCTCAGTGCGTTGACAGACACGAGCGAACATACATATGAAAAATGTGTTGATGGTAGTGAATGTTTAGAAGCGCCAATTTATTGTAATGTAAGAGATATTGGAATCGACTTCAAAGAGCCACTTTACGAAAACGACACGTTGAAAGACCAATGTGAAGTTAACGAGTCCTCTAATTCTAAGGATAAGAATGGTAATGAAGAACGATACACGCGCAGTCTTTCCTGGGATAACGCTATGTATTACAATTGCGTCGAGTCTATCAGTGGCGAAGAGGATCCTACATACCTTCACCCTTGTGAAGTTGATAGCATGTCTTGTCTAAATGGTGACCGAAACGGAGAACAAGATTCCGGATCACGACGGAGTGATGAGAGCACTGAAAGTGTCATTGTCAGACGTGGTGCAGTAAGACGCAGATATGGAAGGGAGTCTAAATAACTACACGATTGTGCTGATCATTGTCTGACAACTGAATCTCGTTAAGTTGGCCGTTGTCCATATTTGGATGAAATGTAAATAAGATCATTGGATATTAATATTTTTTTACCGTCACAAATGCATTCTTTTTTCATTTGAAACTGCCTTGTTTCTGTGAAATCGTGTCATCTCTTGCAATAAAGGCATACATATAGGATGGACATGTCTTTTATTTTATAACGTTTACCTTTTAAATGTACATTCAAACAAGGTTTTTTAACTTTGAAATATTTTATTACTTTCAAGACAAAAAAACAACAACACCCGTGTTATTCAAATTATTGAACCACTTTTGGCAACGAAAAGCTCTAGGTTACAATTGATATATTCATTGCTGAAAGGACTCGCTTTTACATATGATCTAACCTGTCACGAGTACTTATACGTAGATCAATAAGTACGTTTCCTTAGTATTCCTGATGTGGTTGTGATCTACGAACATACAGTCTCAAGCAGTGATATAACTCCTGGACTTTTTCTACTGGTTCTTTTTCATTTGACTCCATTTAAATATTCCCTTTCCTTGTAGTTTGTCTTAGTTTTATCGATTTAGAGTTCCATTAATGTTTGACAATATCAATTTGTCGACAATTTATGTAATTTTAAATGATAATTTTGTCAATTTTGAACAAAGGAGAGGCCAAGCTCAGAGAAAACATCATGGATTTATTGTCATTTCAATTAAAATGGCGTTCAGGACGAAATAGTGCAATGCTATTCAATTTATCAGTTGTTTATCCTTGACACTAGTGTGTGGCGTACTTGTCTGTGTGGGAATGTGTTCTAGTTCGTACGAATTTCAAATCCAGTTTAATTTGTGTATGCATAATGAGAAATTAATTTTATGTCTATATACATTGATGTAAATACATATACGTGTAAGTATATGATAACAATAGATAATGTCTTTCTGATCAACTTTAGGTTGATAATCATTCTTTGATCACTGCTTAAGCCTGCATGTTCGTTGATACATAATCATCACCTGCATGGTCTTCCTCATATGAATGGCTCAAAGTAGTATAGACAAGTAGTTAACAACGTCAACGAACTGAAACGTAAACCACATAGTTTGACTTAGTTTATTATATGTAAAACCTCAAGTATTTGTCCAAGTTTCTCATTGACCTTAGGACATTAGCGTGCAGATGGGACAATAAGATATGAATATATAAGCATTCATGTGTATATTCTAGACTGTTACTGGAGGCGTTACATGTAAGGTTTAAAACCTGCCACTCTAAAACAGGCCACACGATGTTTGAGCTATAACCCTGATACAATGTGTAAATGTTCCTTTTCAAGCTAATCTGCGTTACACTAAATATGGGCATATTTAACAAAATCTAGGTTGGTCAAGAAAAGAAACATGTGCAACGACACCGAATACAATAAAACACAACCATCATCGACGGGAAATGTTTTTTTTTCTTTTTCGTTTATCAACATCTTTGAATGCTTTTTAGTTGTCATACTTATTATTCAATTTCTTATTTCCTTTTTCACCTGAATGGGATTAAATCTACTACAAATATAATATTTCATAAATCATAAAACTTCCTTCTAAAGATTTTTATTTCTTGTCATATATTCTCGAAATTATTAAACTTACAAAATCTAGTTAAAGTAACCGTAAATCTTTATCAAACTGACGATAACTTGTATTACCAATACTCGGACAGGATACATTTATCGTACAACACGGAACTAACTCGGACTGAACAGACACGGAACTACAAGGAAGTAAACGGACACGAACTAACTGGAACTAAAGGACGCAGAGTTGCAAAAACCTAAGGAGCCACGAACTTGCAAGAACTGAGGAGACAACATGAATTGCGAAGACTTTAAATCATAGGAACTGTGGAGACACAAAGGAAATGAGTGGACACCGAAACAAAACACATACCAGAAGTAAACCAAAAAAATGTAGAGATAATCTTGAACAATAAATATTCCCTTCATCACATCTGGGTTTCGTGTAGCATGAATATAAATAACAAATAAAGGGAAATAATCACCCAATAGTTTTATAGTTTATCTCCCTTGTTGCATTACCAAGTTTAAGTTTATAACAAAACTTCTTCCTTAGGGTATCTACGAATGTGACTTAATGTAAAGAATGGAACTTGGAAGGAGATTTCAACAATGTAATAACTTTCACGTTTTTCTTGTTTGATTATTTTTACCATTAGTTATCTATGCCACTATGACAGTATATCATTACCTTATTGTTTGAACTCCGCGTTTTACTGAGAACAGTAAGGTTAACAATGGTTTAAAATTGATTTAGTTGAATTGGTAGATAAGCATGTTATAAAGCCTTGTCTGTGAAGTTATAAGGATTAAATATCGAAAAGACAAAATTGCATCCATTTCAGCTGCACTAGATGTGTATAGATGGTTATTCAATATACTATAAGGATATAGCATCCTACACCTTGTTTTACTGATGGAGTGAAAACTGTAATCTGGTAGAACTACCCACTCATCGTTGAGATTTGACAGCAGGGTAAAATAAATCAGACTTTTTCGACAAATATATCCACACCAAATCTAATTGGGAATGTCCATCGAAATAACTCGTTCTGTTCATTTTATAAATCATTCTTAATGAACAGGAACTATGCACATAATACACGTTTTCTATCAAACTTTACTTTCTAATAACACAACAAAACATGTAGAATTAAATTGTCCTATTTTTATTAGTAATTAAACATCTAGAAAAGTAAATGTTACTTCGTATTAATTATACAAGCATGGCACTTTGTAACAGGAAAACAAAAATGTTTGATTAATTGTCACTTTATACCAAGAAAATACAAATTATTTGATTAAATATCACTTTGTACCTGGAAAACATAATATTTTAATTAATTGTCCCTTTGTACCAAGAAAACAAAATGTTTATTTGATTGAAAATTGAAACCAAGAATACAAAAATGTTTAATTAATAGTCGCCTACGAACCACAAAATACTTTAGTAAATGTCATTTTGTACCAATGTTTAATTAAAAGTCACTTTGTACAAAGAAAACAAAAAGTTTTCGTAAATTACATTTTGTACCAAGAAGAAACAATGTTTAATTTAATGCCAGTTTGTACCAAGAAAACAAAATGTTTTGATAAATGAAATTTTGTATCAAGGAAAACAGAATGTGTAATTTAATACCAGTTTGTACCAAGAAAAACAAAAACATTTTATTAAATGTCACTTTTTACAAAGAAAACACACATTTTTTTTTTAAATGTCATCACCTTGAACCGAGAAACAAAATGATTTATATGTATTAAATGTCATATTGTACTAAGAAAAAAAAAGATTTACACGTATTAGATGTCACCTTGTACCAAGAAAACAAAAATATTTGATTAAAAGTCACTTTGCACCAAGAAAACAAAAATATTTAATTAAATGTCACTTTATACGAAGAAAAGACATAGAAAATATGTAATATGTATAATATTTTTTTTTATTGTTCTGTATCAAAATTTTCAACTTTGAATGCTTTATTATATCAATAAGGTCACCTTAAAAATAAATACTTAAATTTCGCCCTTTAGTGAAACGCCACTTGTATATAGTGAATCGTAAGGCACGGCTAACGCAACCTCATATATATTGTATAGAAGCGTACCAAATTCTTGTATCAGATATAGAAACAGAACGCCATCGAGATATCATTCAACGCATCGAGATATCATTCAACGCATCGAGATATCATTCAATGCATCGAGATATCATTCAACTCATCGAGATGGAATGTTTCAATCCGATCAAAATGCAATGTTCTATTATAATTCATGTTTTAACTAGAACCGTTTCTTATTCACGACAACAGGGAAACTATGATTAAACTTAACAGAGAAACCCATGCCTTTACCATGACTTTGTATAACTACTACGTAGACGAGTACACTCTTACGTATTAACAAGGTCACGAACATGACCTTTCTGGCGGATTGTAGCCTGTTTAGAAAATACATGGGAAGACTCGGGAATCGTGCAATATTTTCGAAGATAGTTTGTATTATGCGTCACATATACACAATTCGTCATGGTTCTTCAACTCAAAACTCAAAGATTAGCCTTAATGAATGACTTGTGATCGAATAACGGTTGGTAGAAGGTGGAACAGTTTAAGTTTTAAAGATCAAGTTCGGAGGGACAAACATGGTAATGAAGCAAGAATGAAAGATACTTCGTGGTTAAGGTGTGTACTGTTCTAGATCCAAACAATACAACAAATGAATACCAAAGACAGAGTGTGAAATCGATAAATACGAATAGTATCACAATGTTAAACGAAGGGACAATCTAGTGAGGCGATATCAAATTGATACCCAGATAACAATTAAATATAGATATTGCTCGGATGACATATGACTAATTTCGCTATTGATAACCTGATTGATAAACCATGGTCAGCTTAAACTGCAAAGGTACACATTTAAACATCACAGCTCCATCCCTCAGTCCAGAATTACGGCTTGCAGGATTATATCATTTACTGTTCTATATATCCTATAATGTATACATACTATAACCGCTATCTGGCAGTATCTAACCGGTAGTGTCGAAGGTTAGTGTACTGTCTTTACTTCAGTACAGATAACGTACATAAGTACAGAGAACGCTGCACGAGACATGACATGACTCCCTTCCGTTATCAGATAGTGCCCACTAAACACAGAGTCTGATACAGGTTATCGCGCGTTGTATACAATACCGGTATTTATGATAATATAGAATTGATCGATGACTCATATTACAAACATAAAAAACACATTACAAACGAAAAATAAGTTTCAGTTAATCAGAGAAAGAACATGTTTAAACAACATTATAATATAAAAGTGTCACGAAAGTAAGCTACCATTGGCGTGCTTTGTTTACAGCGAGAGATAGGACAATGGACATAAGGAATAATGCTGGCGATACGGAAGTAAGCCCGGCACTAGATGGAATGGTGGTATTGGGGGGCGTCGAGTGGGTTACAGCAACATTAGTAGGGTTTGTTCTAGTAACAATAGTTGGGTGGGATCCGGTAACAGCTGTTGGTGTCGTCCCATTTGTGGCGGCTTCTGATGTTTCCATGGTTGTCAGGTTCAGCGAGGTAGTGGTCGGGTTCACCGAGGCAGTTGTCATAGTACTCATTGTAACTGAATCTGTTGCAGCCAATGTGCTTCAAAACAAATCCGGACAGAAATATAAAACGAATAATGCACAAAATGAATTATTATTTTCATAACTGTTATTATTATTTCTATTAAAACCACACTCTTTAATTATAGTAAAATAATAATATACGGATCCGAGAATGACTCTAATAATATAAAGTTTCATAAACTTTATTGCATTTTTTTATTCGGAACGTCACGTACTGATGTGTTTTGTTTCATAAGTATGAATTGCATCTGAAGAAGCAAGTTTATTGTTTTGTCTGTATCATTCTTCGACACTCTAGTATAAATTCATAGCATGTATACGTGAAAACACACTTACATATTTGTAAAATTGTTACAAGAGGTCAGCTTGGAAAATGTACTTACCTATCAAATGTCTGGCTACATAGAAGGACCAGGACGACAACCGGATAAAACATTCCCGTGGTCATGTTTGATCTATATAACTATATCTGCAACGTAATGAAAACAATGTATTTCGTAAAATCATATTCTAAATTTTACTTTTGAATATAATAGGAGATGGGTTCCCTACGTTATTTGGCGATGAATGAATAACATTAATACAAAATATAAAGTGTCATGGTTACTTTGCAAGTGAGCATAGCTTCCAATCGACGCTAACTAAGGTAAACACCGTTAGCTGTGTTTTGGACACGATCGGACATGTTATTAACTGTTCAGCGTTTCAATCTCTACACGATATTTTAGTTCATATTTTACAACCTTGCACTATTCTGACTTTCAAAGACTAGCCTGCTGCTGATTTTATAAGATAGACGATGCTAAATATTATTATAATTCTGATTCTACAAATGCTTGTTCTATACTTAAAGATTATTTTGACCCTATATGCCCATAGTTGTGGATAGTGGGGCCACTGGATAGGTGATATCTGGATAGTGGGACCACTGGATAAGTGCTCTCTGGATAGCGGGACCACTGGATAAGTGATATCTGGATAGTGAGACCACTGGATAAGTGATATCTGGATAGTGGAACCATTGGATAAGTGATATCTGGATAGTGGGAGCACTGGATAAGTGATATCTGGATAGTGGGACCCCTTGATAAGTGATATCTGGATAGTGGGACCACTGGATAAGTGATTTCTGGATAGTGGGAGCACTGGATAAGTAATATCTGGATAGTGGGACCACTGGATAAGTGCTCTCTGGATAGCGGGACCACTGGATAAGTGATATCTGGATAGTGGGGCCACTGGATAAGTGCTATCTGGATAGGGGGACCACTGGATAAGTGATATCTGGATAGTGAGACCACTGGATAAGTGATATCTGGATAGTGAGACCACTGGATAAGTGATATCTGGATAGTGAGACCACTGGATAAGTGATGTCTGGATAGTGGGACCATTGGATAAGTGATATCTGGGTAGTGGGACCACTGGATAAGTGATATCTGGATAGTGGGGCCACTGGATAAGTGCTATCTGGATAGGGGGACCACTGGATAAGTGATATCTGGATAGTGGGAGCATTGGATAAGTGATATCTGGATAGTGGGACCCCTTGATAAGTGATATCTGGATAGTGGGACCACTTGATAAGTGATATCTGGATAGTGGGACCACTTGATAAGTGATATCTGGATAGTGGGACCACTTGATAAGTGATATCTGGATAGTGGGACCACTGAATAAGAGATATCTGGATAGTGGGAGCATTGGATAAGTGATATCTGGATAGTGGCACCACTGGATAAGTGATTTCTGGATAGTGGGACCATTGGATAAGTGATATCTGGGTAGTGGGACCACTGGATAAGTGATATCTGGATAGAGGGACCACTGGATAAGTGATATCTGGATAGAGGGACCACTGGATAAGTGATATCTGGATAGTGGGAGCATTGGATAAGTGATATCTGGATAGTGGCACCACTGGATAAGTGATTTCTGGATAGTGGGACCCCTAGATAAGTGATATCTGGATAGTGGGACCATTGGATAAGTGATATCTGGATAGTGGGACCACTGGATAAGTGATATATGGAAAGTGGGACCATTGTATTAGTGCTATCGCAATAGTAGGACCACTGGGTAAGTGTCATCGCGATAGTAGGACCACTGGATTAGTGATATCTGGATAGTGACTAGAATAGTGATATATCGATAGTTGGACCAGTGGATTAGAAATATTTTAACAGTTGTACAACTGGGTTTATGATATCTGGATAGTGAGACAACTAGGTAAGTGCTATCTCGAAAGTTGGACAATTGGATTAGTAATAGTAGTAAAAGCTTGATAGTGTGACGACTTGATTAATGCCATCTGGATAGTGAGGCAACTGGGTTATTGATATCTGGATAGTGAGACAACAGGTTGATTGATATTAGGATAGTTTGACAACTTGACTATTTATAGCTGGATAGTGGGACAATATGATTAATGGTATCTGAAAAGTGAGATAATGTACCTGGCCTAGTATTAATATCTGAATAGTTGAACAACAGGATAAGTGATATATGGATAGTTGGAAAACCAGATAAGTGTAAAACTCATGAACTAGGCTGGGTATTGGAACAACCTCTTAAGTGATGATTGGAAAGCGGGACAACCGGATTAGCTGTTACTAGATTGTTAGTGGATTGATCGTGACTGATTTAGTGCTGAATTAAGTTGGCTGGATCAGAGGTGATTTAGTGCTAAGTAAATAGGTTTTGATAACTGCTGACTGGATTAGTGATGGATTAATGCAGACTGGATTAGTGATGGATTAGTGCTGACTGGATTAGTGACGGATTAGTGCTGATCGGATTAGTGATGGATTAGTGCTGACTGGATTAGTGATGGATTAGTGCTGATTGGATTAGTGATGGATTAGTGCTGAATGGAATAGTGATGGATTAGTGCTGACTGGATTAGTGATGGATTAGTGCCGACTGGATTAGTGACGGATTAGTGCTGATCGGATAGTGATGGATTAGTGCTGACTGGATTAGTGACGGTTTAGAGCTGATCGGATTAGTGATGGATTAGTGCTGACTAGATTAGTGATGGATTAGTGCTGACTGGATTAGTAACGGATTAGTGCTGACTGGATTAGCGACGGATTAGTGCTGACTAGATTAGTGATGGATTAGTGCTGACTGGTTTAGTGACGGATTAGTGCTGATCGGATTAGCGATGGATTAGTGCTGACTGGATTAGTGATGGATTAGTGCTGACTGGATTAGTGACGGATTAGTGCTGACTGGATGAGTGAATAATTAAGGTTGGGTATTAGGTGATCAGAGTAACAAAGCTCGACAATATGTCGTGCTGTCAAATTATCAATTACATTCGATAAAGCTTCCAACAGAAGCATTACAAGGGACAATATGTTCATAGTCCTATTGCTACCGAAACGTGTACATTTACATACGGTTGCGATCCCTACTGACTTTGTATCGTATGTTGTGGTGAAGGCACACCTGATACAGAGACCCACGTTGGAGCAACGACAGATAAAGAACAGCCGGAAGTGTGGCGGTCAACAGATCGATCGCTTTTAAAAATGTCTTTTTACAGTATGCTTGGAACCAGACTTGAACTTTTTTTCTTCTGAATTCCTTCATTATCATATATTAACGTCTTTTGTAGATGCTAGAATGAACGTTTGTGGTGATTTTTACAATGCGTTTAAACTTTTGGTATGTCTAGAAATTCATGAAATTGTTAATGAAAATATTTCCTCAGATGGTGTGTTAAGCTGCACGGGACACATGTCCCAAAGTTAATCGCAAACTATGATGTCAAGTAAAGGGCGTGTATTGTTTCTAAAAATAGCATTTACATCAGATAGAAAAGTATGTGCAATATCCAACATTATTTATTCCTATTTAAACTCTTTTTTCTAAATATTAACATATTCCCGCTCAGTTTCCTTACATATATGATTTATTAACACATACAACAAGTATTGGTTAGATAATTCACACGCTTTGAAACGCATTTTGTGTACCACATACACGCCAAACATCAATTTCCTATCCTACGCAACAGAGCCCAATGCTCATTTTATTATAAACCGTTTTTTTTGCAGCATAGAATAAAACAATATTACATGTATTTATTGTTACAGAGTATATATTAACTGTTATATTACATATATTTAGGTTACAGAGTATATATTAACTGTTATATTACATATATGTACTGTTACAGAGTATATATTAAGTGTTATATTACATATATGTACTGTTATAGAGTATATATTAACTGTTATATTACATATATGTACTGTTACAGAGTATATATTAACTGTTATATTACATGTATTTACTGTTACAGAGTATATATTAACTGTTATATTACATGTATGTACTGTTACAGAGTATATATTAACTGTTATATTACATATATGTACTGTTACAGAGTATATATTAACTGTTACATAGAATATAAAAACTGTTACAAAGTAGATATATCAGAATACGTGGTCGATATAAACTGTCACGCAGTAGATATAAACTGTATACATGGTATAAACAACCTATCACGTATACATAGAATATACTACTTGTTACATAGAAGATTTAAGCTGTTGCACAGTAGATATACACTGTTTACATGGTATATACGAACTATTACATTGTGGATATAAACTGTTACATAGTATAAAAGAAACTGGTTCATGGTAGATATTAACTTATATTTTATGTAACCAGATGACGATCATGGGAGAACCAAATAGTATTGTTACAACCAGGAAGTTGTCGACCAAGTAATGGGGGCCTTTGCTTTGTATTAAATATCAAGGCATCTAATGTATATAAACTAGTAATTACCAAAATATCTGTTGTTAATTGATTGCCAAAATATCTGTTGATAATTGATTATTAAAATATCTGTTGTTCAGTGGTTACCACAATATCTGTTGTTAAGTGATTACCACAATATCAGTTGTTAATTGATTACCAAAATTTCTGTTGTTAATTGATTACCACAATATCTGTTGTTAAGTGATTACCACAATATCTGTTGTTAAGTGATTACCACAATATCTGTTAAGTCATTATCATTTTGTTCGTTGTTTTGTCACTATTACAATGTTTCTACATGTTGAGATAAAACACTTATTACAACGATATGGATATTAAACAAAATTAAATTGTTTATTTATCCAATATTTACAACATGAAATATAATATTTAAAATAATAGTGAAAGGTTTACGCACCCGAGTATGGCAGTCTCTCCCAGCTCATGCAACCCAGAATGTGACGAGATAACGCTGAGATATGTGGTTATCTCCGACTGCTCTGACGGCCATATCACGGGGTACACCTTTTTAAAGTTTTGGGTAGATTTGTAACAAAGAAAACAACCCGTTGTTGTGGCAATACATGCACATTGAGGAAATTCCACAATCTCATAGCAACGCTGTAATCTCTGGCCTGCTTCCTTTGTCCCAACTATTTCCCTCTTCCTATACTATTTTTCTATCTACTCTTTTCTTACTTGCAATAAGGTAATTTGTTTTGTTTGTTAAATTTGTTTCCTTATACATTGTACAAAATATGATATTGTTTATTTTTTTTGGGTTGACTACAATTTAATAATGTTTATTTCATGCTTATTCATGGTATATTTTGTTTGACAACAATGTACATTGTAATATTGTTTATTTCTCTTTGACAACGATACACTATTGTTAACTTACTCTTTGATAACATTATAATATTTTGTTTACTAAAGTGTAATATTGTGGTTTTTTATTGTTTATTTCTCTTTGACTACAATATATATTATTTTTAGTCTGTTCTTTTACTACCATGTATTATTGTTTATTTTTTCTTTAATTATAACGGTATTTTGTTTACTTTTTCATTGACTACAATGTGAGATTGTTTACTATTTCTTTGATTCCAAGTTAATATTGTTAACTTATTTTTTAACTACAATGTAATATTATTTCAATATTGCTTATTTCTCTCAGCGTTTAATTTACACGCAATATTGTTCCATTGGTGTTGTTTTTACATTACATTGTATATGTCTCTACCTGCAATAAAATAAAATTCAGTCCAAATTGCATTTATCAAGTTCATATCACATTGCAAATTGAAAAGAGTGAAACCAATTTTCAATGTGTTCTGATATATAGAAATACAGTAGAGGAGTAAACGGCAAATAAATGTTATTACAAATTCGAACGTTTTATACTCAGCAGATTTTTCATTTAACTTGTATTTGTGTTAAACACGTCATAATGTATTCTATCTGAAAGAAAGTTCTCTTCCATGAGGAAAGGATTATGCACAGAAAGGACTTTCCTCTGGTAGATGCCGAACGCGACGATAACATTAGGCCGGAAGTAAATACCGACCAATTCGAAATAAACACAACGTGGAGAATGAATCAGTAGGGAACTTGTGCGACACCTAGATCACTTGGTATTTCAACGCTTCCAACTCCGCCTTCATTACAGGAGAAGGCTATGAACACATGAAATGTGTTTCTCAAAGGCCTCTGGATCCGTTGTTCCTGGCACCTTATATTATTTATAGAAGTTGACCAACGAGGTATTGCCAACGTCTAGTGCATGTACTTGTAAGTGGAAAACTGAGGCGACTAGGCGCTCTATAAACGGGTCATTATAGTTACTTTTCGACGCTCTATGATCAGGCTTTTATAGTAACTTTTCGACGCTCTATGATCAGGTTTTTATAGTAACTTTTCGACGCTCTATGATCAGGCTTTTATAGTAACTTGTCGACGCTCTATGATCAGGTTTCATTATAATAACATTTCGACGCGTATGCATCTGCAGGACTTTCGACTCTCACAAGTAGCCAAGACAAACAGACGATTTGATTTCATTTATTTATTTATTCATTCATTTATTTCGATCTTTTTGTAGTTTTTATCGGTAATTGTTATTTTGAATGTCTTAATTTCCTCGAAATATTTGTTTGTATCTTTAAGCGTAGTGATCTCCCTTAGCAAACAAAATGTTCTATTAATAAGACACCAAATGAAATCAGACACCATTTTCAAGCCGAGTCTAAGTCTTCTTCATCAACAATAAGCTACAAAGGTTTATCCTATAAAGGCCTTCTTTAGCAGCAGTGTCTTATACAGCACAAGCCCTGTCTATCAGCAGTGCCTTATACAGACTAATATCAGTACAAACCCTGTCTATCAGCAGTGCCGTATACAGACTTATACCAATACAAACCCTGTCTATCAGCAGTGCCTTATACAGACTAATATCAGTGCAATCCCTGTCTATCAGCAGTGCCTTATACAGACTGATACCAGTACAAGCACTGTCTATCAGCAGTGCCGTATACAGACTAATACCAATACAAGCCCTGTCTATCGGCAGTGCCTTATACAGACTAATATCAGTACAAGGCCTGTCTATCGGCGGGGCCGTATACAGACTAATATCAATACAAGCCCTGTCTATCAGCAGTGCCTTATACAGACTAATATCAGTACAAACCCTGTCTATCAGCAGTGCCTTATACAGACTGATATCAGTACAAGCACTGTCTATCAGCAGTGCCGTATACAGACTAATACCAATACAAGCCCTATCTATCAGCAGTGCCTTATACAGACTAATATCAGTACAAACCCTGTCGATCAGCAGTGCCTTATACAGACTAATATCAGTACAACCCCTGTCTATCAGCAGTGCCTTATACAGACTAATATCAGTACAAACCCTGTCTATCAGCAGTGCCTTATACAGACTAATATCAGTACAAGCCCTGTCAATCAGCAGTGCCTTATACAAACTAATACCAATACAAGCCCTGTCTATCAGCAGTGCCTTATACAGACTAATACCAATACAAGCCCTGTCTATAATCAGTGCCGTATAAACACTAATACCAATACAAGCCCTGTCTATCATCAGTGCCGTATACATACTAATATCAATACAAGCCCTGTCTATCATCAGTGCCATTTACAGACTAATACCAATACAAGCCCTGTCTATCATCAGTGCCGTATACACACTAATACCAATACAAGCCCTGTCTATCATCGGTGCCTTATACAGACTAATAACAATACAAGCCCTGTCTATCATCAGTGCCGTATACAGACTAATACCAATACAAGCCCTGTCTATCAGCAGTGCCGTATGCAAACTAATATCAGTACAAGCCCTGTCTATCAGCAGTGTCTTATACAGACTAATATCAATACAAGCCCTGTCTATCAGCAGTGCCTTATACAGACTAATATAAGTACAAGCCCTGTCTATCAGCAGCGCCTTATACAGACTAATACCAATACAATCCCTGTCTATCAGCAGTGCCGTATGCAAACTAATATCAATACAAGCCCTGTCTATCAGCAGCGCCTTATACAGACTAATACCAATACAAGCCCTGTCTATCATCAGTGCCGTATACAGACTAATACCAATACAAGCCCTGTCTATCATCAGTGCCGTATACAGACTAATACCAATACAAGCCCTGTCTATCATCAGTGCCGTATACAGACTAATACCAATACAAGCCCTGTCTATCAGCAGTGCCGTATACATACTAATATCAATACAAGCCCTGTGTATCAGCAGTGCCGTATGCATACTTATATCAGTACAAACCCTGTCTATCAGCAGTGCTTTATGCAAGCTAATACCAATACAAGCCCTGTCTATCAGCAGTGCCTTATACAGACTAATATCAATACAAGCCCTGTCTATCATCAGTGCCGTATACAGACTAATACCAATACAAGCCCTGTCTATCAGCAGTGCCTTATACAAGCTAATACCAATACAAGCCCTTTCTATCAGCAGTGCCTTATACAGACTAATACCAATACAAGCCCTGTCTATCAGCAGTGCCTTATACAGACTAATATCAATACAAGCCTTGTCTATCAGCAGCGCCTAATATAGACTAATACCAATACAAGCCCTGTCTATCAGCAGTGCCTTATACAAGCTAATACAAATACAAGCCCTGAATATCAGCAGTGCCTTATACAAGCTTTTACCAATACAAGCCCTGTCTATCAGCAGTGCCTTATACAGACTAATATCAATACAAGCCCTGTCTATCAGCAGTGCCGTATACAGACTAATATCAATACAAACCCTGTCTATCAGCAGTCCCTTATACAGACTAATATCAGTACAAGCCCTGTCTATCAGCAGTGCCGTATACAGACTAATACCAATACAAGCCCTGTCTATCAGCAGTGCCTTATACAGAATAATATCAACACAAGCCCTTTCTATCAGCAGTGCCCTATACAAGCTTTTACCAATACAAGCCCTGACTATCAGCATTGTTCTATTCAGGCTAATGTCAATACAAGCCCTGTCTATCAGCATTGTTCTATTCAGGCTAATACCAATACAAGCCCTTTCTATCAACATTATTCTATACAGGCTTATGTCAATACTGTCTATCAGCATTGCCCTATACAGGCAAATACAAATACAAGCCCTGTCTAACAGCAGTGTCCTATACAAGCTAATACCAATACAAGCCCTGCCTATCAGCTGTGCTCTATACAGGTAAATACCAATAAAAGCCCTGTCTATGAACCTTTCCAATTAGTACAATTTAAGAGAGATTTAAAGCCTTTAAACCCGCTTAATCTGCAATGCCCTTTTACATACTTAATCTTACAAAATTATGTATAAATCATATTTGTCCCTCAACAGTGCCCCATATTGACAAAAACGTACCTGAGCTCCCCCTTCACAATGCCCTGTACATGAAACTTTTAAAGCTCTCCCCTTTAACAGCGCTCTATACAGCTTAAGTCCTACACAAGCCCTCTTGACTGCAGTTTATCATCTTTACAGCCGGTGTGGTTATTTGGCAGAAGGTGGGGTATCTGACACAAAGGTTGTCCCTATATGATCACTTGTTGCTGAAACGATTTCATTATTACACTGATGAGGACAAAGGTGACAGTATACACTGACAGACTCGTGGACACACTTCCTGCACGCGACAAAGCGTTGTCAATTATAATCATGGTTGGAACGGTTTTCCTCCAAAAGTTAACACGCTTTTCAAACATTTTGGTTTTACGCGTGCATGGCGTGTCCAGGTCGATGTAGGCACCAGCTGAAGGAGTGTAGGCCGGCCAATTGACATCCGTCGGCCACCCGACATTTGGGTCCCTGCAACACCGTAAGAAATTATATTACCGACTTGGGTGTCAAGCAATGGTATTTCAATCACTAGGCCTGTTAAATACAATGTATTTTCTGAACGAAGAGCTCCGACTAAATTTCAGTATGATATAAACTATATTTTCTTCTGAACAATGGGTTCCCAAATAAATTTAAGAATTATCTTACTTTTATTTACGTGAATCAAAGGAAATTCAAAGGGTTTCAACTGAATTTCAGTATCATGCAAACTCTGCTTTTTACTGAACAAAAGGTTTAGACCGAAATTCAGTATTACCGTACCTCTGTTTGTCTATTACACGAATGGTCCAACTAAATTTAATTACCATCTAACACTTTTTTTTGTCTGCACAATAAAAGTTTCGAAACAAATTTTAGTTTCCCCCACCTCAATTGGTCTGCAATAGAAAAGGTTCGAAATGAATTTCAGTATATAGTACGGTCATGAATTGAATATCTATATTTAGGAATTTTATTAATGTTTCTTTACGTGTAACAGAATGATAACTCGACGAGTATCCTTCAACATAGGGAAGGGGCATGCACGTGTCTCGATATGCTACGTGTAACCACACGCACTTACGCACATGCACACACGCGCGCATATACTTACACAGACGGACAAACACACAATGTAAGTCCTTATGGAATGTTTAGAACTTTTTGTTGCATAAGATATAACAGTATTTTGTTTGAAATAATGAAATAATGTCGTATATCACCGAACATCTATCTTTAATACCAAATTCGCCTAAAAGGTATTGTAATAGCTATATAGTAACAGTTATTAATAGTGATCTCAAATATGAAAAGACACAAAAAAGAAATTCCCAAGTAAGCATATGATATATTGAAGATTGGTTTAGCTTTCAACATAGATATATGTAATTGAGACTTTCTACTCAATTTTTGTTTACTAGATCGATAGGTTATGATTACAAATAAAGACACTTGTTACACCCCGATATTCGACTCACCCGCTGCTGGCGAAGTTAGTCCAATAAGTAAGCATATCCAGTGATAATTTCAAATCTTGTTGTTGTACACCGGGTCTAATTTGGGCTCCAAATAAGTATGGGATTTCTGAAAAATGCCCTGGACCTTCCAGCCAAGAAGGATAGGGCTCGCCGGCTCCCCATCCGGCATTTCTGGTCAACAAGAACTGAAATGTTTTCGACTGTGTGTTTCCCTGGGCATGGACATTCAGCGTGTATATGGCGGGGACAAAAAAGAAAAAGTCACCATACATTTCAACCGCCTTGTTTCCCTGTTCCGCCATTGTTGTCGTATTCCCGCCATTAATGCTATACATGCTGCACACAGCGGAAATGACATCAGAGTGGTTTCCTAGCCAGTCACCAACTATTCCGGGGATGATCAAATCGCACAAAATTCGAGAGGGAATTCCAAGTGTAAGATTGTAGTTATAAAAACTCTGCAGTGCTTTAAGATTTTCGTCTAGTATTAATGATCCCTCGGACTGTACGTTGCCGACAACCACATTTAACGACCGGAAGAATTTATATGCTAGTGAAGATTTGTTACCGAGTAGATTTGAGGGTGTATCTATTAAAAAGTCACCGTCTACTACAGGAGCAAGAAGCAAAATATAATGCGTTTTGTTGTCATTTGTAGTGCTAGTATGGATTGCATTTTGTATCACTTCTGCAGGTTTTGTCCTTAAGCAGTCGACAAGTCCAGCAGAAGTTTTAGCTGTACATCCGATAGCTGCTCCGATGACTCTCGCGGCTTGTTTAGCAAACGGTGAGGTGGCAAAGACGGAATTAGCCACTCCGCTGTGTGCCATTGCCTGGTTAAACACGCCCTTGTTTGGAGCATACAGACACTGTAGGGCGACACTGAACCCCCCGGCGGACTCTCCAAAGATGGTGAAACGTTGGGGATCACCGCCAAACATGCGAATATTTATTTTTACCCATACGAGGGCCATTCGTTGGTCCCAGAGACCGTAATTTCCTGGCGACGAACCGTCTTGCGTGCTCATGAATCCCATAAAACCTAATCGGTAGTTCATGGTCACCACTATAGCGTCACCAAAAATAGCAAGGTATGATCCATCGTAGATCTGACCACTTCCGGATATATAAGCACCACCATGTATAAACACCATTACCGGTTTATTATCCGATGCCGACGTGTTAAGCGGGACATACACGTTGAGAAATAGACAGTCTTCCGACATGCTGACATTTTTAGGGTTGTCCTGCATACATATTGGTCCAAACTCGGTACCGTCTAGTACACCAGCCCAAGGAATACGACCGATTGGTTTCTTGAATCGTAAGTCTCCTACAGGAGGTTTGGCGTAGGGTATTTTTCTATATTGATACACAGAGGAATTGAAGGCCGGAACGGGGACCAATATACCGCGAACCTTGCCCGCCGGCAGGGTAACCACGTGTGTAGCATTCTGACAAAAAAATGGAGCAACTAATGATATAAGAATCAGAAGATGTGGTAAAGTCGGAGACATAATCCCGGGGGTGATCCTGATCAAAAGAAAAAAAAAAGAATAGTAATAATTGCTAAAGTACAGGTTAGATAACGATACATTATTATATTGGAATTTTTACACTGTTGACCATTTGTACTTAAAAACAATGTAGACGCAACGAATACATGTATATAGGGCAGTAAATGCTTACTTTGTGAACTAAGTTACTTTCTTACTAAATAAATACTTATTTAGTGATAGTTGCACTTTATAACTTCATGAACATGTTTATTCTAAATGTGGTACATTATTACAGTTAACAAAAATCAATATCTGACGATAGCAACAATCATAAGTTGGTAACTTTTCATAAAACCTTGAATGGATTACAATTGTATATCAGTTAATTGTTGTGGGTGAATACAATGCGTTTATCTTACTTAACCATGTGATTACTGGATGTCATTTTGATTGAATAATTAATGCATGCCTTCTGTTTATAGTAAATGAATATCAAATGCTGAATTTGTTCCAAAATAAAGCATTAAAACATTTTATTAATATAAATAAATTAGGTAATTTTATGTGCATTATGAGAATTTGCAGAAATATCAATTCCGCCACTAAAGCACTATTTTGGTTTGAATTTATAGGACACTGATAAGGGTTCCCCATGGTCCTTTCTTAATGAGAGAAGAGGTTCAATTCTAATAATAGGAGTAAATGGTAAACATTTGGCTGACGAATCATACAAATATACTCTAGAATTAGCAATAGCATTATTAATGCTGAACTGTGCAACTTATCTTAGTGCTAGAGCCATAACTCCTTGTACAGCTGATGGAAAACGGTCCAGGATTTATGTATTTTTAATCTTTCTTTTTATACATTATCGTCGCAAATTAACTGCGAATTTATCAGGTCAATTAAACCGAAATTCATTCTGTATTAGGTAATTAAGAAAATGTAAATGTTTCGGATGATTTTATATTTTCGTCGAAATCATTCTATGATTATATAGTTGATGGAAAATGTTTCGCATACTTTGCAATATATTGATAATAAGGTATTCTTAATTGGTGTGCATCCTTTAAATCAATAGAATGTATGTAAACGTGTTCCAATAGTTGGTGACATTATGACTGTTCACATACATTGGGGCAATATCATTTTATTTATTGTATGAAACATTGACAATTTATGAATTGCACTTCTAATGTAAAACGGTGTCTGTTCATATGTGTAGTAAATCCGTTTTGGTATATAAGGGTTTTAACTTCTTCTATTTTTTCGCCATTTGAAGAAGCATAAAAAATGAACAATAACTGCATATACGACTATTCATTATTACATGTACTACTGATAACCGTGGTGGACCTCCTTGTATAACACCAGGTTGAGTGACGGGGGTATTCTAACAAAAAGGCAGATAAATGTCACAGGCGAATGTAATTTTGAAAACGAATGATGATTGTGTATAGTGTATAAGATTACTGTTATCTTGATACAAAATATGTCATATTGATATACATGAAGTAAGCAAAGTGATACTTTAAATGAGAAAAACATGCAAAATGGTCACAAAGTTTGAAATCTATTTACCATTGTCAACTTGCCTACGTATAGCTACAATAGTCTATATTGTATACTTCTTTAAAAGCTTTCCTTATATATACAGAATCATTTTTATGTAATATCAAAACCGGTAAAATATTGTTTAGCATGACGAACATGGCCAATGCACAATTTCACATAATCAGGAAGATGTTATTATTATTGCTTATAATGGTAAATACCGATACATTTTTTATTTTGTATCATACCAAAACACTTCATTATTTTATGCATGTTTAAAGCTATGTGCAGCAGTGATAACTCATAATTGTGTATTCTGCAAAAGTAATCTTTCCTACGGAGATCTACCTAAGGTTGAGATTGTGTTATAGAAAAGGTATGCAAATATATTAGACAATGAAATAATCTTAATTATAAAACTAATATCCACTTGCAATGGATTATTATTTAATTTGTCTTTTGCCCATTTATGCAACAAAATATGAAGGAATATTGCATTACTTTATACCTTTAACTGTAAACAAGTAAAGCGAGAATAGATATCCTTGTCAGACTCTCCTTACAAAAGTTATAAAAAAATATATTCCTCCAGCCATATATATTAGCTTACACTTTCTTCCTTAACCTTTTGTTTTAATTATAACCAATGATTCAGACAAAGAAAATAAGCTAATGTAATAATTGTTTCAACTAATTATCTTCTTCAACATTTTGTCATAAATGAACAGTCTTACCATTTCATAAATAGATAAAGCCCGCGTGGTTGGGCCAGTCCCGACGACTGAGACTCCCTCTAGCCATATGCATTACCGGTAGTTGTCTATCACCCTTTGTTTAAGTTCTACGATATTCCAAAATCAATTTGTACAACAACTGCTTCAGTTAGTTAAAGTAAATAACGATTGATACTTCGTTTACATATTACAAAGAAATGCTTTGAATAGGTTCGACGGCTTGCGTTGTAAACTTAAGCAATAACATGTTGAAATTCATATTTAAGAATTGATACAATGTTTACAATTTCCCTTAAACTTAACAATATATGTATTATATAGAGATAACAAGTATACATGTAATATCAACAAAGCAAAAATATTAGCTCAGTTTGATACGCAGCTTATAAATATGGCTGGAAGAAGTCTTTGTCGGTAGGGATTGGCCCAACCACTCAGACCCACTCTAGTCATACCTGTACGTATTCTAATATATTAACATTCCTAAAGTTTGTACTTATCATCACTATAGTAAGGGTAAAGGAAATGAAAAGAAGATGTCCAGATAGAATGTAAGAATGTGGTACCATTATATGTATGTTCGAGTGGAGTGTGGATGATTGATGTTAAAACAAAATCAAGTAAATATTTATTAAAAACAAGAAAACGAACGAACAAAATGCAGATGTACGATGATGAAATGGCTCGGTGTTAAGCACCAAATAATACAGATAGAGATATAGCAATAATGAAGTATAAGTGTAGCAGATATGCACTTAACAACCACATATTTACTAACATATTAACCTTTTTTTCAATAAGCGAAGGTCAAGGTCACCAATGTAAACAACCCACTTGCCAAATATCAAGACAAAGGGACTCCTTATTAACAAGAAACACAATCTAAATAAAAAGTGGAAAACAAGGTGTTTTTCTGGGGTTTTTTAAAATCAAAGGCTTTACAAATTTTCATGATAAAAATTACCGGTTGTCATTATTTTGGAAATTCCTGGTATTATTGGTAGCCAACTTTTAAGCAAGCAAGAAAAAAAGACTCGTTTTAGAACTACGTAAATTAACGTGTCAAAATGGTCATTCTATCATTAGTACAAGTTTAATGTAATTTCACATACTTTCCTGCTTAAATCTTCATTAAAAGAACAATTCTTCTTAAAATAGCGTACTTTTTGTATCAAAATAATAGTCGGAATATACGTTGCACACAGTAATGATATAATTCTTATAGTAATTGTGTCATTAAAATACTCTAGGAGGACTTGTATTATCACACCTTTAATATCCAAACAGGTGTAAGTCAATAAGGTCCCATTTGTCATAAAATGAATTCTGATTCAAGCTTACTATACCCATACCTTTTTGTATTTGTCTTGTTTTGAAATTCAAAACGGGGACCGACGATGATGTGTTTTCTCCATATGCGTTTACCCTACCTTTATAATTTACGGTGAAACATCTTGATAAGGGATATGAACAAAACCCGATTCGACAGATTGTTCATGTGAGTCAATTCTTGTGTGACGTATCGTTACAGCAAGTTTTTCATTCATATTCAGCTGTACTGACTGATAAGGTATATGAAACTGACATACACGTGTCCGTACATGGATGCAAACAAACTTACGTCGTCAATCGTGCGCGAAGTGTCCTCCTCCTGTGATCCGACGTGAACTCGCCTCAGAAGTAATTTGTTGTTGGGTTGAATTGACCAAGGAAGAAGCTAATTGATTCGACACTGCTATTTATGGGTCAAATAAGGGTACACTGACGTAGGACACAATGATGTTTGAGGACCACGTAGGGGTACACTGAGGTAGGACAAAATGATGTTTGAGGACCACGTAGGGGTACACTGACGTAGGACAAAATGATGTTTGAGGACCACGTAGGGGTACACTGACGTAGGACAAAATGATGTTTGAGGACCACGTAGGGGTACACTGACGTAGGACAAAATGATGTTTGAGGACCACTTAGGGGTACACTGAAGTAGGACAAAGTGATATTTGAGGACCATGAAAGGGTATACTGACGTAAGACACAATGTTGTTTAAAACCACGTTAGGGTACCCAGACGTAGAACACAACATTAATTGAGGACCACGTAAGGTTACATTATTGAAGGACATAATGCTGTTTGAGGACCACATAAGGGTGCATTGTTGTAGGACACAATGTTGTGTGAGGACCACGTAAGGGTATACTGACGTAGGACTCAATGTTGTTTGTGGACCACGTAAGGATATACTGACGTAGAACACAACGTTAATTAAGGACCACGTAAGGTTACATTATTGAAGGACATAATGTTGTTTGAGGACCACGTAAGGGTATACTGACGTAGGACTCAATGTTGTTTGAGGACCACGTAGGGGTACACTGACGTAGGACAAAATGATGTTTGAGGACCACTTAGGGGTACACTGAAGTAGGACAAAGTGATATTTGAGGACCATGAAAGGGTATACTGACGTAAGACACAATGTTGTTTAAAACCACGTTAGGGTACCCAGACGTAGAACACAACATTAATTGAGGACCACGTAAGGTTACATTATTGAAGGACATAATGTTGTTTGAGGACCACATAAGGGTGCATTGTTGTAGGACACAATGTTGTGTGAGGACCACTTAAGGGTATACTGACGTAGGACTTAATGTTGTTTGAGGACCACGTAAGGATACATGGACGTGGGACATAATGTTGTGTGAGGACCACGTAAGTGTACATGGACGAGGGACACAATGTTGTTTGAGGACCACGTAAGGGTATACTGACGTAGGACTCAATGTTGTTTGAGGACCACGTAAGGATACATGGACGTGGGACACAATGTTGTTTGAGGACCAGGTAAGGATATACTGACGTAGGACACAGAGTTGTTTGAGGACCACGTAAGTGTACATGGACGTGGGACACAATGTTGTTTGAGGACCAGGTAAGGATATACTGACGTAGGACACAGAGTTGTTTGAGGACCACGTAAGTGTACATGGACGTGGGACACAATGATGTTTGAGGACCAGGTCAGGGTATACTGACGTAGGACACAGTGTTGTTTCAGGACCATGTAAGGGTGCATTGTTGTAGGACACAGTGTTGTTTGAGGACCACGTAAGGGTGCATTGTTGTAGGACACAATGTTGTGTGAGGACCACGTAAGCGTACATGGACGTGGGACACAAGGTTGTTTGAGGACCAGGTAAGGGTATACTGACGTAGGACTGAATGTTGTTTGAGGACCACGTAAGAGTATATTGACGTAGGACTCAATGTTGTTTGAGGACCACGTAAGGGTATACTGGCGTAGGACACAGTGTTGTTTGAGGACCACGTAAGGGTGCATTGTTGTAGGACACAATGTTGTGTGAGGACCACGTAAGGGTATACTAACGTAGGACTCAATGTTGTTTGAGGACCACGTAAGAGTATACTGACATAGGACTCAATGTTGTTTGAGGACCAGGTAAGGGTATACTGACGTAGGGCACAATGTTGTTTGAGGACCACGTAAGGGTTTACTAACGTAGGACTCAAAGTTGTTTGAGGACCACCTAAGAGTATACTGACGTAGGACTCATTGTTGTTAGAGGACCAGGTAAGGGTATACTGACGTAGGACTCAATGTTGTTTGAGGACCACGTAAGGGTATACTGACGTAGGACTCAATGTTGTTTGAGGACCACGTAAGGGTATACTGACGTAGGACTCAATGTTGT